ACCTAAAGAGAACAAAAGACTATCATTGAGGTAGGATTATGCTTTCATTATTTAGGCAGGCACAGGCGATATACGAATTTATAAGCCAGTTCTGCAAACATTATTAAACAGTGTTGTCCTTCATCTATTCCCAAAGCTGTTGAAAATGATTCAGAACAATCATCTAGTTCTTTTGCAGGATAGGTTGAGTAGAATGTCAAAGATTAATTCAGCACTCCTGTTTATTTAAGTTTTAATTTTCCCTGTTATCTTGTAATCTTACCCTTCCTGTTTGACGTCACGGTGAAATGGACCAGGAGGAAGGGGCTCTATCTTTCACGTTCGATTTCACTCATCTGGGGACCCTAAAAAGGGTCAAAAGTTGCCCCGGGAAGCGATGAAGGAGGGGGGGACACTCATTGATCAAGGAGGGGTGGCACACCCCATTTGATCCGAGGAAGCCCTCCAAACCAGCGTGGGAAAGACTGGCTACATTTGTGTGACCAGTAAGAAGCTGCAGACAACTGAAGATAAGCAATAACCAGCATTTTTGAGCAACATAGATGAAACTGGGTGAGACTTTATACTCTTTTTATGACCTTAACACTATTTTCCTGGAAAAAAAAATGCCCAAAGGAAAGAATCGATGAGAGAGGGAAGGGACGTTTTTAACCCGATCCCTCAGGAAAAGAAAAGCGGCAAATTAATTGCTTTGGGGAAAAACAGAGAAAACTGCAAGACCAATTTAGAATTAATACAGATATATAGCTTTGAAATTTGGGGACTAAAAGTACCTCTGAGACTTTTTCTTAAAAAAAAATATTTGAAAGTTTGTAAAACAGGTCTGGTCTTGGAAATCTGAAAGAAGGTGCCAATGACATCTAGTGGTGAATCATGGCACTACAATTTATTATGCTTAAAAGAAACTTGGCTTGAAGCCCGGACTTAGATAAGACTCTTTGTTGTTCCTGGAAATTTTCACTTTTGCAGACTGCAGCTGGGAAAAGGGAAAAAAACAAACGAACTCTTCAGCTGCTTATCTGTGTTGGAAAAGCTATTGGACTACAAAGACTACATATAAAAACAAAATGAGTCTTCCATACTGAGCTTTAAATGGCAAAAAAAATCATCTTTACACCTATCCCCAAAGCTCCCAGCATGATATATCAATAAGAAAATGTTAATGAATCTCAGAAAGAAATTCTGTCTATGTTGAAATCAATCCAAGAGACAATTGTTTTATTTCATGATGAGACTAAAAATAATGCAAATGAGATAAAAGAACAATTTTCTAACCTAAGCTTACAAATCCAGACAATAACTACAGAGAAGGAAACAATAATCCAGAAAATAGAAGGGAAATCAGAAGAAATGGTTCTAAAGATGAAGGACTTAAAGTAATTAATAGACAGACATGGACAAATGAAAAATCAGAGAATGCAGCGATAACATTGGAAATGGAAAAGATATTTTACTTGCCAAGATCTCAGAACACATTTGAGGATAAGGAAGAAAAGCTGATCGAATGGATGATAAAGCTGTTAGGAGAACCGCTGAATATTGACAAACCTCTCTTCTTCTAGTGATAGACATTTTTCCATACTGGGCAAATAAAATTCTTATTGTTATAAGTAAATATACAATTACCTAGCAACATTTGTTACATTTTTCTAATAGTGTTAATAATATCAGTTTCGAATATCTTTACTAACCAAAGCATATCATACCAAGATACGATACTCTGATTACAAATCCTATCTATCTAGTTATAATAATACTTCTATTTCTAGCAATCTATTCTTAACCATATTCAAACACCATTCTAATTGATAATATAACATCCCCTCTAATAGGTCAAAGCTTCTATTTCCTTCAGTCTTACTCTAGCTTTCTTCCTTTACCAACTAACTTTCCAAGTTAGTGCATTTGGATCATCAAATGGTTCTTCTTCTATTTTTGTGTCTATTATTTGAGAAACAATTTAGTTAAAGCATTTTTGGGAGAACTAGCCCGTTGATATTCATTAAACAGCCTCCCTCCTTCTTCAATTCCCCACAATTCTGTTAATGGCTTTATCTTCCATTCCATCAGCTCTCCTTCCTTAACCTCCAGTATATTCTGAAACCTTGGTTTGTAAAATGTCTTTTCCATTTCTAATGTTATCAGTGTGTCTTCTAAGTCTTCATTTATTTGAGTCTGATCACTGTTTTCTTCCTTTAGATCCTCAAAATTTGTGTCAGCATTCTTTGGTTTTCCTTCTATTTCTGGGTTGCTGGTGTCTTCTCTGTAGTTATTTTCTGAGTTTGTAGATTTAAATTAGAAGATTGTCCTTTTATCTCCTTTGTATTATTTTGAATCTCATTACGAGCTAAAGCGATTGTTTCTTCTATTAATTTCAACATGGAGAGAATTTCATTCTGTGGTTTATCAGTATTTTCTTGGTAATATGGCAAACTGAAACTTCTAGAGACAGATGTTAAGGATGGTTTTTTTACTATTTAGAGCTAAGTATGAAGCATCCATTGTATTTTTGTAAGTAGTCTTTATAAATTTATCCAACCAATTACCCATTCTTAAACCTCCCTAAGCAGATTTCAAATTTTTCTGTCCAATGAGAAAGATATCCATTAAAGATTGTAACAAGATTTATAATCAAGATTTATAATCCAAAGTATTTCATCATATCAGGCAGTAGTGTATGTTTCTTCTACAGGAAAATAGTTCCACAATACAGCTCTGAAAGTCAGTATTTGGGTTCATAGTTCAGACAGGCCAATTTTAGAATAATATTATCATCTCTGCCACATAGATAAGTAGCCCCCAAGACTGTCCTTTTTCTCAGCTGCAGTTCTCAAAAATAAAAACTTCAAGGCAAGCGAAAGTGTTATCTAGCTCTGGGCTTCGAGCCAGGTTTCCTTTAGCCATAAATAAATTGTAGTCCCATAATTCACCACTTTTTCTTCTTGTGACATATCCATTATCGGACATTGGTGGTCATGTTGGCGATCCTGTTTTTATCAGCAGCTGCACGAAAAAATGCTGCTGGGTTTTGTCCAAACCAATTCACCACTAGATGTCATCAATGCCATTTTTCAGTTTTTAAATCCAAAACTTTGGGCAAAATTTCAGGAAGAAGTCTTAAAGTCATAAAGAGAGGCTTAGATCTCACCCAATTTCATCCACATTGCTGTAAGATTGCATGATAGTGCATGGTGTCTTCCACTGACAGCAGCTTCTGACTGGCTACACGAATACAGCCAGTCTTTCCCCCACCGGTTTGGAGGGCTTCCGCACCCCCCATCAATGAGTGTCCCCTCCTTGCTTGCTGCCTCTGTGTGCTGACTTTTGACCCTTCTCAGAGTCCCCCAGTAGGGCAAAATCAAACACAAAGGTCGGAGCCCCATCTTACTGCATCTGCCTTGCCCGAAGCCAAAACCAAAAGCCCTTCCAAAAATACTTTAATCAAATTCTCTTCCCCATTCCAAGCAATACATATAAAAACAGAGAAAACATTACTTGATGATTCTAATGTACTGACTTGGATAATTATTTGGCAAAGGAAGAAAGCTAGAGTAAGACTCAAGAAAATAGAAATGTTGACTTACTAGATTGGATATTATATTATTAAACAGAGGTTTGAATATGTTTAAGAAAAGAGATAAATGTTAGAAATAGAAGTATTATTATAATTAGAAAGATAGGATTTGTAACTAGAATATTATATTTTGTTATGAGATGGGAAGTATGAAAATTCTAAAAGGGTCTGAAAAAGCGAACCTCTTGGTTACCCAAATATAACCTATTATGAGAAAATTATAACCGATAGAAATATTTTGAACATTCATGGAAAATTAAAATGTTAAAAAAAGGGAAAAACAGGATATTGACTGAACAAATGGATTTTAAGTGCAAATACAGTAGAGATATGTTTTGGCTAAAAAAGATATTATAAATGGACACTATCAATCTTATGTATAATACCAGAAAAATGTGATGAAGATGTCTATATTTAATTGTATATGTATTAACAACAATAAGAACTGTATTTGCCCAGTATGGGAAAATGTAAGCCCCACTGGAGGAATAGAGGACCAAGGAAGCACTGGATGGTGTAGTATTGGAAGTAGACTGAGAAAGTTAATATGTACCACTGAATTATTAGTGGACCCAGACAGCACGTTGTTTATTAAGTACTTATGATTGTAAAATTAGAAAACTAATAAAATATGCATTTAAAAAAAGAAGAAGAAGAGGTGGTCCACCAGAGAGATTTTGGGAGATTGCTGGGTCACTTTGGAGGAATGAGGCCAAGGGAGAAAGCTAAAATTATTGTTGTTCTCAGGATGCTGGAGGAAAGCAGGAAAATCTTACTATAGTGAGTTGAACTTTGATTCCAAAGAATCAACACAAAAATTTCCACCGAAGTAGATTAAGGGAGAAAGCCCCCATTGTTTAAAATGTCAGTGTGAAAAGGATGAAAATTCTGCCAGATTCCAACATATACTCAGTTTCTATGTTGGTTGAGACCTTTGATATATGTGGGTTCAGCAATCTCTTGTTCAATTATGCAATTAAATAATGTTTTCCCAAAACAATCTTGGAAGTCTACATCAGAGTCCAACCTCCCAGGATTCCCCATTGTAGGTTTCAAAATGACCATTGATTAACCAAGAAATTGCCGAACTCAACATATGTTAAAAGGTTAAAGATATGGGATTTTAACACATTGAAGGTCTAACAGTCTCCTGTGTTACCTGCCCCTGTGCAATCAACCTCTCTTCATCACCCTGCCCCGAACCCAGTTTTAATCCAGCATCACTTTAGTTTTGCATCTCAGGAAGTGAAATGCAGCTTCTAAAGCTTATAGCTTTTAATGAAATTATGTAAATGGGGAAACATTTCATGTTTCATGATATGAAACTGTTAGAAGGGTTGTACCACTGGTTCAAAGTGCAGTGTCATTATTGTACTGGGAATACCAATTGCAAGTTGCATGCCTGTTTTGCATCTTCTTTGCACAGTTCCATCCATCCATCCTTCATCTACAGCTTGGACATTGACAATTGCATCACCATCTTTGAAAGAGACTTCATCAGCATCTGCTGCTGTGTAGTCATACACAGCACGGTAAGTCTTCTATTGTATCATATTAGAGAGAAAAAGAATAACCAAATGTTACTAGCATAAACGTAGAATTCAGCGAATAATCAATTCAACACTTCTGCAACTGTGCAACTTTCAGTAGAAAGACCTCCCTCCCAAATACATCAATGATATTGTTCAGTTCCACAAGTGAATATATATTCATCCCAAAGATGATTATTCATGCAGACACACGAGGATTCTTTTTTCTCCCAAGAAATGGCAACTCTTCCACCCAGGCAGGCAGGCAATGATGAGGTAATGATAAAATGTGACATAATCCAAGTTTCTTCCCCATTTACAATTTGTCATCATGACCTTATATGTAAGCATCTAAGGAGCAAAGCTTGATGTCATGAACCAGGTTCCACCATTTTGATGAGGTCATGGCTTGTTGTGGACTCACCTGTACATAGGCTCAATTCACAAATACCCTCTGTCTGCAAATCTTCATTTTTATAGATACTTTGGTTGGATCGTTTTGCTTACCCCTGCAGTAGACGGATGAGAGGGGATGGAAGATATTGTAGTCTGTTGCATCGCAGCAGAAGATGATCTGTGTTGTGGGAGCTCTACAGTTTTGGCATGTTTGTAATCCACTAAGGAAGGAAACAAAGTTGAAATATATCAGAAGAAGCAAACACAAAAACAAAAAAACATGGTATGTTTTCAAAATACAGTTAAATGGTGCTTGAACACTGGGTATGTTTTCAAATTTTGTTAGTGGTTGGGATTAAACATTACTGTAGCACTGATGCATGCATTGTTAGAACATCTCTTTGTAAAAAAAAATGGTAAAACAATATCTGCCCACAAAGATACAAGGCTTTTGCTATATTTATTGATTGAAAAGAATCACTCTGAAATTGTACATTAAATAAATTATGGCAGTTATATGTTGCATTCCCAAGAAGGTGTGATCATGCTATAACCAACCCTTATGTATGTATAAAAATAATGTGTATCCTTATAGTAGCTAATGTTGATACGATGACAGCCAACATATTGCATTATTCTTAGTCTTCCCACTCTGCTTTATCGGCGCTGAATTGCTTTGAGCAATGACTTACAAGTTATGTATGACTTGTATGTTGTATGTTACCAAGCAAACTAATACCCTTAAGAAAGAGAGGCTGGATCAGAAAAATGAGGAGTTGGATTTCAGTATTCCAATACAATCTCCAATATTAGATTCTACTTTGAATGAAAAAACCCCTAATGGCAGCAGCAACTCCTCACCTTCTAGTGATATAATTTCAGCCACACTATAGGTAGTGGTGAACAGAAGGCAGGCTGAAAAAATTGATGACTTCGACAATGGATCTTTTGGTCCTTCAGTTTTCAGTAATATTTCTGTAACATTAACGAGCCCCTTTATCCAGAAGGAAAGCACGGTTGTTTCAGATGTCTAAAGGAAATAAAAGTTATTCTTTTATAAAATTGTAGAAAAATAACTGTAGAAATGTAATGCCAATATATGAAACTGTCTCTTTAGTACAGATGTAACACTGTAACACAAATGTAGCAATACACTGCCAAATGTGTGAGAAGGTTTGTTCAATGTTTACTGCCTAATATTCCTCCGGACACAGGAACTTACACTTTGAGTAGAAATCCTACTATCAGAGAAGGGGATTTTAACCCAAAGTGAGAATTCCAAATAAACAAGATAACAGCAGATGGACGGAAGAGGTCAGATTAACAAAGTACAACTTCAGAGTACATCCATAAAGATGAAAGAGCTGTTTAGATGTGACATGCATTGTAGGGCTATAAAATGCAAAACTTGAAACCAGGCCAGTGTGCTCCTGGAATCCAATCCATAGGGAAGGATCCAGGGGCCGCGTTTGCAAACGCTCCTCTCTTCTATTCTTTCTCTTTTCTCTTTTATTCTGTTTATGTTATTCTCCAATAAACCTTTGTAACCTTTGTAACCAGACTTGTCTTTGTATTGTGAGTATCAAAATTTGGGGGTTTTACATCTCACAAGTCTCTCCAAAAGGAAAGCCAGACCTGGAGAATAAAAGTGGCTTAAAACTCAGAGCAAGAAAAACCGTCTCTGGCACAAAGAGGTCACACTCAGAAATCTTAAATGCTCTAGAGATGTGTGTCAAAGCAAAAAGAAGTAAAGTAGAAAACAGTACTGAGCCAAAATTGAAGTCTAACGACATGATTGAGATAAGGAATGGAGAGCACAGAGAGAATATTTCTCCAGAGATTGATGTTCACGAAGAGGCTGTGTCCAAAGTTAACCAAAATCCTGATATTTCACTTAACCCGAAAACATTAAGACGTTCTTTAAGACAAAAAGGAGAAACTGATGGAGCTGTAGATAGTCAAGACAAAAAGGACAATCAACAAAAGAAGGAGAAGCAAAAAGATAATGAAAAAATTCTGCCAAGGAAGATCACACAAAATAGGGAGACTCCTGGGCAAAAAGAAAAGGCTAAAACACTTGAAAAAGCCTCTGATGCATCAGGAAGTGTGGATGTAAACAGCGCTACAGGAAACATAGACGCTAGAGAGAACAGCCAGGAAAAGTTGAACATGAATCTTGAGAAATCTGAACGCAGTCTTTCCTCTGACTTTGAAGAATCAGGCCATGATGCACCCGTGGAGAAACTTGAAGTATTTCCACATTATCATACAAGAAGAGCAGCTTCACAAGGATTACTTACCAATTTGGAAAAGTCTGAAACTGATAGCAGTGAAATAAGAGAGGAAGGAGCGAAGAGGAAATGGTTTGGGAAATTGAGAAAATATGATTCCTCTGGGAACGAAGCTAAGGAAGAGCCAGAGAGCCAAGAGTTTTGTTCCCAAGCTGCAGTAGAAATCCAAACCCGGTCAGTAGGAAAACAGAAAATACCGCCTGGCAGAGAGACAGAAATGCCTTCAATGTCTACTAATACAAAGGAAATCGGTACAAATGAAGAAAAAAGTACTCTCCCATTAAGCCCCTGTGTGGATCTTAAGGAAAATACAGGCACTTCACATCCTAGAGCAGTGGTGGCGAACCTATGGCACGGGTGCCAGAGGCAGCACTCAGAACCCTCTCTGTGGGCACACACGCCGTTGCCCCAGCAGAGTTTGCCAAAATTGCACACACGTGGTGTTTGGAAGTGACATGGCAGGAAGTGAGCGAGCAAGCGGTGTTGCCCCCCCAGGGATGCCCCAGAGATGGTGAGGGTCTGGCCCCGGCCACACTTGCCCAGTCTGCTGTGACCATGGCAGCCACGCCCACCCAGTGGCCCATGCCCCCCCCATCCCACCTGAATGCTGATGCAGCCCTGGCACTTTGCGATGCATAAGTGGGTTTTGGGTTGCAGTTTGGGCACTCGGTCTCTAAAAGCTTTGCCATCATTGTCCTAGAGCCTCTTCAGATACAGGGAGAAGAAAGCCTGCTAACAGGATAGAATCCACTTTGGAGCCTATTTTGGAAAACAGGCAGGAACCTAGTACTCTTGACACACGTTCTGTGGTACCTAACAACCCAAGTGGCGTTTCAGAAGACGATGCTTCTGCTACTGCTGTCAGTGCCTTTACTTCACCCAAGACATTTCTAGATATGTCTAAATGCCAGCACAAAAGAAGCAAGCGGGCAAGGAAATCCAGGAGCTGCGAATGCTGTGATGAAAAACTGACTCCCCAAGTGGAAAATTTCAGAATCCAGTTCAGTGGATTCTCATTCAGAAGAGTTTAGTGCTCAGGATCAGTCTTCAGAACCAGGTTCAGTGGACTCTTTTTTTAAAGACAAGTTTTATTGGTTTTTTGATTTTTAAAACAAAGTACTCAAGACACACCGTGGTGTTTGGGTGGTCAAACATCCGCAGACAAAACATATATACATAATTCAATTAATACATCAAATATTCCCTCTCTTTTTCCCTTAAGTAAAGTATTTTATTTAAAATAATCCAACTCTAGTTTAAATTTACTCAACCTAAACCTGTTTTTAAAGCTTTATAAATTTACACTACAATAATCAAAATAACTTTAAGTACAAACATTATCAGTTCTGGTATCCTTTCCAAATATATTCTAATTCCTTAATTTTATCATAGATCTTATTTATTTCTTCTTCCACTAATATCCCTTATTTAAAATAAAATATTAATCTACCCTATACGTATTTAATCCATCCATCAATCAATCTCTTTAAACTGACAGAATAAAGTCCAACCTTAAATCATTTCAATCCATTTGACAGAATTCAAATTTCATCCAGTTAATTTTCCTAACTAATCACATCCATGTTATCAAACAAACAGATCATCTTATTAGATTTATTCAACATTACATAATAATTTTCTTACAAATAAACCTATCATTCTAAAAAAAGAATTAAAAACCACATTCTTAATCAATTTAATATATATATTCCATTAATCACCCCATTTTATCTTACTTTTTAAGCTGAAAAGATAATATCAAACCTTAAATCATTTCAATCCATTGGACTTCAAACAAACAAATCATCTTATTAAAAATAATAATTTTCATATCGATAATCAATTCAAAAAGTACATTCTTAGTCAATTTAATATATATCTTCCATTAATCGCCCATTTCTCTTACATCTCGCTCATACTCTTAGTCCTTAAATCAGTCCATAATTCTAAATTGCCTTTAATTCCTAACATAAAATTTTAAATTTCACTTCTTTTCAGTCTTATTCTGGGCTTCTTCTTCTGCCAGATAGGTTTCCATAACAGAGCTTCCCTTCCAACTGATAAGTCTCTCTTTATTGCTTGCAGTATCATTTGAATCCATGTAAACCATCTTGGCCTTTGCATTGGCCCTCTTTTTCGCTTAACCATAAAATTTCGTTGCTTTGACATTTCAAATCTCTTTGCTTTTCCTGATCCTCAAAACCATAGGTGAATTGCTTATCAGGCAAAGTCAATTTCTCTTTATTCTCAGTTAAGTCCTCTTCTTGTGTAGTCTGTTTTATAGAATAATCAGAAGTAGTTTGAGAGTCAATTTTGAAGTTTAAAGGAGAGATTCTGGCTCTTAATTCTGTAGTAAACTCTTTCATTGTAGCACATATTTCTTCTTTAGCCTCATAAATCTTTTCCAGAATAAGTTTACAATTTAAGTGTGAATGCAGCTCCATTTTAAAAGTTATTCAGCTGGATCAGGTTACCCCCCCCCCCCTCTCTCTCTCTCTCTCAAAAAAAAAAAACAGTTTGAAAGCCAAACATCTCATCTCCAAATGGTCAAAAATTACAACATTAGCTTTTGGCCAGTAGATGTCCTCAGTAAGCTAAAAAATCTTTTTCAAGAGTCATTTTTTTCCCTTTCTATTTTTTAAGGAAAAAGTGGAGGAAGAAATACTCTTTCAATATAAGATAGTAATAGCGCTCAGCAAGAAAAAAAAAACAACAGCATAAACTGATAATACAGCTCTTAAGAAAAAAACTTCGTTACTCCAAAACATGTATAAATATGTGTATAAAATTTTGTTTTATTCTTTTGTTCAACGCCTTTCTTCCCAAACAAGTAGAAGCTGCTTTTCCAAGCCATGGAAATAATTCCAAGAGGGCTCTTACAGGCAAAAAAAGAAAGAAAAAGAAAGAAAACAAAGTAGAAGAAAAGATAATTCAGGATGGAGAGAGGGAGGAAAGGTCTCACCCAGATTCACTACGGTGGTTCTTTATGCTTAGATGATTTTCTGACTTCAGCTGGCACAGCGAAGTAATTGGCCATTTTACTGACCGATCTTCTTCTCCATCAGCCCTACGGAGTTAGCTCGGATTGTAGGGGGAGCCGCCGCTCCACCACAGCCGAGCAAAACCCTCCTCAATGGTGGTTGCCCCTCCAGGGCGATTTAAGTCCTGCATAAGGGTCTACTGGTAGAGAGAAAAACAGCCAACAAAGAGCGACAGCTCTTCGTATGGCTGAAGCTGCCTGATCTGGAAGCGGAAGTCTAGTGGACTCTCATTCAGAAGAAGTCAGTGCTCAGGATCAGGGTTTAGAACCAAATGTAGAAGCAGAGGCAGTAATGGAAGGCAGTAGTAACCAGAATGGTCAGTTGGAAAGTAAAACAGATACAGAGTTCAAAATTATCCAAATTATGGGAACGCAACCTTGTGAAAGAGTTATTCAGAATACTATAGGACAGACTTGTGGACTTCAATACCCAGAATTCCTGAACCAGCCAGGCTGACTCAGGAATTCTGGGAGTTGAAGTCCACAAGTCATAAAAGAGCCAAGGTTGCCAACCCCTGAACTAGGGTAACATCTGCAATTGAGGTAGCAGAGCTGCAGGAAAATGAGACGAGTGAGGAAGAAGGCACAGAAGATAATGCAGCAAATGCACCAAGTGAGCTTCCAACCTTAGTCTTGTTGCAGGAAAAAAGCAATACCTTGGATTCTCCACCAAAATGTAAAGAGCTTGATTTTCTTTCTTTTGCTAAGGTCAGTGGAAGTCCTACTGGGACACAGGCATGCTGTGTATGGTCCCCATCAGCTTCTCCTCCTACAAGTATTTTAAAAAGAGTCATAAAAAGGGAACACGAAGAAGATTCATCATCACCTGCAAACAAGGTATTTTACATGATTTGTGCCATTCTACATGTGATTATTTGCATATTACATAAGCTCCTTGAAACCCTAAATATATTTTTAGCTTCTTTGCCATATTAAATCCATGATTTGCCAGTCTCTTAAGCTATTAAAGTCTATGTGGCATGCCTGAAACGATAAAACTTTAAGACTGTTGGATGAAGGGAGATCTTTTGATCAGCACTGAAATGTTCTCTTCATATCTTGGTTGGTTTACAGATTACATTATATTAATGTAATTGCATATAGTCACTTGAACATTTATATCCTTTATATTTATATACATTTATATATTTATATACATTTTACACAGTGTTGTAATAAGTGAAAGAATCTCAGTGATTTAATAAAAATATAGCATGCAGTATCTTTCTGTCCAAAGTATAATGCAAATCCATGGTCTCAAATGTTTAACCTGAATTTCATTGAAATATAAAAAAGGAAGAAGTTTATTATTCCTTTCTTAATTACGTGCTTCCTATCACTTAGGTTGCCCAGTACTATTAGCAATACAATTCCCTATTTCATTGCCAATAGGTTCTGTCTGGTCAATGAAATATATTTAGTATTGCAATTTAAAACTATCACTGTAATGTTCAGGGTTACATTAATTCATTTGCCAATGTAGGTAAATGACTTTTCTTGGAGAGCATGTCCACTTTGTGGGAACTTAGATAAATTTGCTTTTACCAAAAATGCACATTAGCATGTTTAAGGTTCCTGTGATATATTTCTATCTTTCTTTGGAGATAATACTAATCTAATTGTTTGTTTTTATGGAAGCATTGACGTATAACTAAATGTCTATAGATTTCCTTTGGAAGTTTTGAAGCATCAGTATTTTAAAACCAACATGTAGGCAATAGGAACTTCCAAGCCTTGTCATTGTAGCTTTTGCATTTGTATGATATTTCAAATTTATTTAAATAGTAATTTATCAAATATGTGTGAACAGAACCAAAGAGTCTCCTTTGCCAATCCAATCTGGTGTGAAAAGACATAGCATGAGTTGATTCTCCAATCGCTATTACATGGATGTCTCCCTAGACCAAGAGGAAAAGGAACATTGGAATGAAGATTCTTTCCTGTTGATGTGACTTAGGCATCCATCCCTTGCTTTTTGAACTAAATGTTATGGTTGCTTCGTTATAGTGTTATCCTTGATTAATTTTCATGTGTAGCTGCTCTTTCTACAATTTGATCATGGAAGGAACCAGATGCCTGATAAAAGAAACCTGTGAAGCTATTGCAATCAAAACCTAGTGACATATTCCTTGTCTGTCCTAGTTGATAGGAGAATTAACCCATTCTGTGGATGCCTTAAGTCATTTCAACAGTAAGGAATTTTCATTGTGAGTGTTCTTTTTTCCTAACTGAACTAGTTTGTTGAAGGAAGTATTAACTGCCTCTGGAAGTATGCTCCCATTGAATTGGCCTTTTTCTTAAATAAAGGACTCCAGTTTAATTGTTTTGCTTTCAAAAAAAAGCACAGGGTTATAGATGATTCCTATGATTTTGAGCAAAACTTTTTCCTCTTTTCCTATCCAGCTCAAAACCACTCCAACCAAAGAATCTCTGTCCCCTGGAACCCATAGCCATAAATATAAGAACTCAAAGAAGTGTTTAGTAAGATTTGCATTCCTTTTCTGTATCTCATCTCAATTTCTCCCATGCTCAGTTCTTAAACTTACCCACATTCATGATTTTCTCTATTGCTTAAGATGACAGAAATGGTCACAGAGCCAACAACAGCATCTACAGAAAGTGTATATCCTGCCCTGGTGGGCTGTAAAGCATCTATTGACATAATTCTGCCTCAGATTACTCCAAACACTTGGTAAACAGGAGGAGGACATTGAATCAGATTGTCTGGAAAAAAGTTTATGTGCCAGATATCAGCTTGAGTGTTTCTATGTTTAGGCAGTGCTCCTAACAGGTAGAATAATGTGTCCATTTGAAGTTAATCACTAGCAAGCAGCAGATGACAGGAATCAACATTTTAAGGATACACTGCATTCCAGATAGATTCTGCGGCAATTGTTGAATTATATGTGTGAAAATGTTCATGGGAATATAAAGTTACATTTTTTTTTCATTATATTGAATCTCATTGTATTGAACTCACTCATTTTTCTATAAAGATGTATTGTCACATTGAAAATACAGCTGAAGAATATATATTTTGGATAAATAGAAAATGTATACAAAAATGCATCCCATTTTTGTATATATAAGCAAAAAGTTCAAATTGTACCATATGAATGCCATAAGCAGATTCCTCTGTACAATATGAATATTTTCTCATTTTAAATTCATTCTGATTGATACAAAATTATTTTAACCCAGAGGATTTTGTTTGAAATTTCAATAGGAGATAAGATGCCCTTTTTGACACATAGTTTCAGCAGAAATATTATGACCTTGTACTTTTCAATTAGTTGTTTTGGGATAGTAATTTAAAGTGTCGCCTATTTTTTGCAAATGTTTCATATATAAGGTGATTGGGAGAAAACATGCTACCTTAATATGTACATAAATGTCCATACCCCTCAGCAGTTCATTATTATGCAACTAAAAAGGACTTTCACCCACCTGATTGTGGCCCAAGATCAAGTAATTTAAAGCCCATGTTCTTTATCCCCTAATACTGTTTAATTTCCCTTTCTCCCTTTTCACAGTCACCTTCAAGTCTATATAGAGAGCTCTTACAGGCATTCAGATGAAAATCCAAGTAGTATCCATACATACAAGGGAACCAGGATGAAGACAAACTAGTATTTTTTCTAAGTTCAATTCTTCAGTTGATACTTGAATCCACTCAGTGCACACCTTTTGACTTGATTCTGTTAATAGTGGTAGCATTTAGGCTTATAAGCCCAAAGTCCTTTACAGCAGGGCTTTTCAACTGGTGGGACATATACATTGGCACCTGGCAAGTGGTACCTGACCCTGCCTAGCCTAGACAAGCATAGTGGGGGAAGGGAAGGAGCTAAAGTGGCCCAGCACAGGACTTGCCCTGAGAGAGTCCTCAGGAGCTTCAGGGCTGCTGGGGCAAGAGAAAGGCCCCAGGAACGGCATTTCCAGCACAACTGGAAGAGAAAGGAGGAGGGGGGCGGAGACAGGAGAGGCTATAAAAGGAGGCAGTTTTGGCGGGAAAGGGAGAGAGAAAAAGGAGGTTGGAGAAAGAATCAGAAAAGAAAAGGCTTTTGTCAGAGAAGTGGTAAGAGTGACAAAGAGGAAAGGCTCTTTGGGGAAGTGTGTGTGAGGAAATGCATTTGTGGGATGTGTGTGTGTGGGGGGGCTTTTGCGAGTGAAGAGTGAGGAGAAAGAGAGAGGTGAGGGAGAGAGGAAGTAGGGCTGACCAGAAACCTGACCATCAAGGCAGTGATGCATATTAATAAATATTGAGAAATTGATCATACATTTGTCAGTGTAAAGGGAAAGTGATTCAGCAAAGGAACTGCCACAAAGAAATTAAAAATGATATTTTCCCCTTTTTTTACAATTTTATTAAATTATATAATAAAATACAAAAGCAAATACCATTTCCCCCTGAGAGTAAGGCCTACGCTGAAACTAAACACTAGCTTGATTTTTGGGGGTGGGTATAATTTAAGCCCTACCCCAAAAATAAGCCCTAGTTTTGCTGCAAGGCACACATCTAAAAATCAAGCTAGGACGCAGGTGGGAGTGTGGAGCTGCCCCATCTATCCCATACCCACCAACCTTGCAGGTAGGCCTCTCCTTGATGGCCCACTTCTTTTTCTGAGGCCTTTTCTGCAGCCAGGCCTGCATTTCTCAGTCACAGGGCTTTCTGGAAGGCCTGTGCAGCCGTGCACCAAGCAACGGACTGAATCCATAGCTCTATACATGGCTGCTTAGGCCTTCTTTAAAGGCCTAACTGCAGAATGCAGGCCCAAATGCAGCTGCAGAACTTCAGCCCCAGATGTAATGGACCAGCTGGGTGAGGCAGTCCAAGCCGGAGGTGAGGTAAGGCCTACCCTGAAAATAAGATCTGGTGCCTTTTTGGGAGGGAAAAAAAAAGACCCAGTCTTATTTTCAGGAAAACATGATAGTAGGACACAGTGGGGAGGAAAAAGGGAAAGAAAAGTGAGGGGGGAGAAGAGAAAAAGAAAAGAAATGGCATTGACTTCTGACTTCCCCTGTTGCAGTAGAAGGAGCATTAATATTGAACCTCAACTTTTTACTTTTCCATAATATTATAAACCAGCCATTTCTATAACAACAAATGAATCTAACCAATAAAATCCAAAATCTCCCCCCCTTTTTTTGACACCATGCTAAATACTGGTGGTACTCAAATATTGTCATGTCCTAAAAGTGGTACAATCTGTGAAATGATTGAAAATCGCTGCTTTACAGCACTCTCTGGGCGGTTTACAACATAGAAGCATAATTTGCATATTGCCTCCAACAATCTAGGTCTATGGTGGCGAACCTATGAAACGTGTGCCATATGTGGCACGCAGACCCCTCTCTGTGGGCACGCGCAGTTCTAGGCCTTTAGCTGGGTTTTATGCAACCTTTTCGCTTTAGGCCTCTCCCGCCATGTGCAAAAACAAAGATTCAATCAATCAATCAATTTTAACTTCTCGCGGGAAAAAAAAGATCTCGCAAAGTTGGAATTGATTGATTGAACTTTTTAATCCCACCCAGTCTGCTGTTACCACTGCAGCCATGCCCACCATATGGGTCACACCCACACAATGGGCCACACCCACATAATGGGCCACGCCCAATCAGCAGCCAACAATACATAAGTGGGTTTTCAGTTGCAGTTTTGGCACTTTGTCTCTAAAATGTTCGCCATCACTGATCTAGGTCCTCATTTTACCAATCTTGGAAGGATGAAAGGCTGAGTCAACCTTCAGCCCCATCAGGATTGAACCCCAAGCTGTGGGCAGAGTTGGCCTGTAATATTGCACTTTAACCACTACACACCAGTACACTATCATTTTGATTTCAGGAACTAAGGATATTTGTGGAGGCCATGTTTAGGAAAACATATGGTATGCTAGAAGGCATTTTCAAAATACAGCTTTTAAGCATTGGATATTCTGAGCAGAACTTTCAGCTTTCGGTTTTCTGCATTTGTGCAGCAAATACTTGCATGATTTTACAGTTTTATCTTTTTCATGTACAGATTGAACAATATTATTCTCCCCCCCCCCTTTAATATGTGCAGGTAAAATCTCGTGGAATGGAGCAAAATTCTGCAGAGAGATCAATCAATGTCATGGATGAGACATTGTTCTCTGCAAATGAAAATGCAGTTATAGCAGGTAAATATCATTCAAACCTATGCTATCCATTTTCTTAAGTTTAATATAAAGTATAAGAAAGCATGCTTCTATGCGATTTGAATTCCAGATAAAACTGAATGCCCACGTACCTTAGGGCAGTATCCTTGTTATTATTCGATTACCCTGTTTCTTCTGGATAATTAATGTATATGGTCATATGATTCTTGTATATGCTAAAGTATATATTTATTGATGGTATTTCTATGCTGCAATCAGGCCCAAAACATCAGAAAAGTAGCAAATATTTTCTTCTAAACACTTACTCACTTGACCCATGATCTTTGACTATTCCCAACTATAATAACATTTTATCTGAAAATAATGTTAATAAAACATTGTGATTGGCCCACAGGGCCTGATTGCTAATCGTGTGTGTATGCATGCATACGTGTGTGTGTGTGTGTGTGTGTATGTGTATACATTCCAAGAGCACTAACCAGCTTTTAAGAGGTAAATCATAAAAGGAGGCTAATCTCTCCCAAATACTAGTATTTCAGACTAAGTTTTCATCTCTTTATCCTGCTGGCTAAATCTCTCCAGTTAGTGGGTGGACTGTCTATAATTATACAGTTACCTACACGAGCAAGAGTTACAGACTATCTCTGTCTGAATGGGCTTTAATTTGGTCTCACCTAAACTGGTTTTCTTTTCATCTTAGACGTATGTGAAACGGAGGTCTCCAGTACGGAAGAGTCATCAGCAATAGACCTTTGGACCCTTGTTAATCTACTTTTTAACCAAACCTCTCCTGAAAGTCTTCGGAACTATTCAGGGAATCAACTCGTTGAAATGCAACAGAAGCTTCAAAGAGTATCAAACTACATGATCAATAGTCTGAAATCCCGTTACGAGTTGTTGTAGTTTTATGAAACCACCAAAGTTGTTTGAAGAATAGTTTTGATTGCAGGGCAGTTTTGTTTTTAAAATCCACATTTTAAATTTGAGATTAATATTTAGTTTCACAAGTTTTAAATTTGAGATTAATAGTTAGTTTCATTACATATTTTAAGTAAAAGGGATTTCCGTAACTTGAAGCAAATACAGCATTGGAGTATAAATATTAAAGATCCAAATTCTGTGGATTTGCATTTTAAGGTTTTCTTTTTTAATTGCTGCTATGCACAACTTCCAAAATGTGTTAAGATGTGCAGTAATGACTGTCAAACATGCTCAAATAAGGAGCAGTATACTGTATATTTTAAATGTTAAGTGTTTTAAATGAAAAGGCTTTGGGGCATCATCAGTATTTGAAGCCTTGGTTTTGTTGTTCTGACTAATGTTTAAAGTGTTAATTCATTTACCAAAATCTTCAAAATCAATCTTCCAACTGATAGTAGTTTGGAAGGTACTAGTTTTATAGCTTCATTACCATATTAAGAAGTATGGTGCTTCATTAGCATACTAAAATATCCCTAAGTTTTTAATAGGACATAGTCTATTTTTTTCATAAATATAGTATGCAGAAGAAAAAAGCGTGTCAGTGCATAATTCCAATAAGAAATTCTCAGGATCTGATCACATCCTCTTTGAATTTTTATATACCACAAAGGATCTATTTGCCCCATTCATGAGTCCTATATAAACTGGACATAAGAATAATTTTGTATATTATGTATAGCTGTACTAAATGCAAACGCTCTAAATTATATCTGTATGAAAGGCAGCATCTAACATGCTTGAATGGGAGGAACTTTGTATAGAGCATATTTGTGCTTTTTAATGTTGACACCACAGTGGGATAAATTTATGTTTTAGGAAATAAATATATATAAATAAAATATATAATTGATTGAATAAAATGGTTGTTGTTATTTTGGGGAAGAACTGTGTTCTGTTAAGATTAAAATTAGTTTTCTGAAAGAGAAAGGATTTTTAAAACGGTATTTAAACTGTGTATTAATAACTGCAGGGAAAAGAGAAAAGGGTGAATCAATAGGTTTGGGCCTTTGTAAAGGTTAATAGAAAGCAACTTCACAACCACATTAATCTAGCCATTGTGCCTTCTGTGATTATATGATGAATTAATTACAATTTTAGTTTTTCAGCATAAATTGGTAATGAATAATAGGGTAGGACAGAACTTAAGAGAATAAAAGACTATCATTAAGGTAGGATTATGCTTTCAGTATTTAGGCAGGCACAAGCCATATAAGAATTTATAAGCCAGTTCTGCAAACATTGTTAAACAGTGTTGTCCTTCATCTATTCCAAAGAACCAACACAAGAATTTCCACTGAAGTAGATTAAGGGAGAAAGCCCTGATTGTTTAAAATGTCCATGTGAAAAGTATGAAAATTCTGCCAGGTTCCAACAAATAAACAGTGTTGTCTTTCATCTATTCCCAAAGCTGTTGGAAATGACTCAGAACAATCATCTAGTCTTCTTGGATTTTGATGCGGATCCTGGAGTTTTTAGCCTTTACTTGTTACTGCTCCCCACTTGTTTGACATTGCAAGATAGGTTGGATAGAATGTCAAAGATTGTGTCAATTCAGCACTCCTGTTTATTTAAGTTTTAAATTTTCCTGTTCTCTTGTAATCTTACCCTTCCAGTTTGACGTCGCGGTAAAACAGGCCAGGAAGATGGGGCTCTGTCTTCCATGTTCGATTTTGTTCCTTTGGGGACCATAAAAAGGGTCAAAAGTCACCCTGGGGAGGCAATGAAGAAGGAGGGGACATCATATATCACAGAGAGGTGGCACACCCCATTTGATCTGAGGAAGCCTTCCAAACCAGCACGGGAAAGACTGGTTACATTCGTGTAGCCTGTAAGAAACTGCAGACAACCGAAGACAAGCACTAACCAACATTTTTGAGCAACGTAGATGGAACTGGGTGAGACTTTATCCTCTTTTTATGACCTCAACACTATTTTCCTGGAAAAAAGAATGCCCAAAGGAAAGAATCCCCCTTGATGAGAGAGGGAAGGGAAGTTTTTGATCCGATTCCTCAGGAAAAGAAAAGCAGAGAATTAATTGCTTTGGGGAAAAAAAGAGAAAACTACAAGACCAATTTGGAATTAATATACAGATAAACAGCTTTGAAATTTGGGAACTAAAAGTACCTTTGAGACTTTTTCTTAGAAAAAAATATTTGAAACTTTGTAAAACAGGCCTGCACTTGGAAGGCTGAAAGTGGCGAATCATGGCACTACTTGACTTGAAGCCCGGACTTATATAAGATTCTTTGTTGTTCCTGGAAACTTTCCTTTTTGCAGACTGCAGCTGGGAAAAGGGAAAAAAACAAACAAACTCTTTGGCTGCTTGTCTGTGTTGGAGAAGGTATTGGACTACAAAGACTACATATAAAAACAAAATGAGTCTTCCATACCGAGCTTTAAATAGCAAAAAATTATCTTTACATCTGTCTCCAAAGCTCCCAGCGTGATATATCAAAAAGAAAATGTTAATGAATCTCAGAAAGAAATTCTGTCTATGTTGAAAACAATCCAAGAGACAATTGTTTTATTTCATGATGAGACTAAAAATAATGCAAATGAGATAAAAAAAACAATTTTCTAACTTAAACTTACAAATCCAGATAATAACTACAGAGAAATAACCAATAACCCAGAAAATAGAAGGAAAATCAGAAGAAATGGTTCTAAAGATGAAGGACTTAAAAGAAGAAATTAATAGACAGACAAATGAAAAATCAGAGAATGCAGCGATAACATTGGAAATGGAAAAGATATTTTACTTGCCAAGATCTCAGAACACATTTGAGGATAAGGAAGAAAAGCTGATCGAACAGATGATAAAGCATTTAGGAAGAAATGCTGAATATTGACAAACCTCTCTTCTGGTGATAGACATTTTTCCATACTAGGCAAATACAATTTGTATTGTTATAAGTAAATATACAATTGCCTATCAACATTTGTTACATTTTTCTAATAGTGTTAATAATATCAGTTTAGAATATCTTTACTAACCAAAGCATATCATAATTGTATTTGCACTCAATATCCATTTATTCAGTCTATATCCCATTTTCGCGTTTTTCAATTATAATTCCCCATCCATGTTCAAAATATTCCAATCATTTATAATTTCAGAACAAGTTATATTTGGGTAACCATTAGCTTCCCTTATTCAAAGTTCTTAACATATTCTATTTTCTCTTTTCATACCAAGATACGATACTCTGATTACAAATCCTATCTATCTAGTTATAATAACACTTCTATTTTTAGCAATCTATTCTTAACCATATTCAAACATCATTCTAATTGATAATATAACATCCCCTCTAATAGGTCAAAGCTTCTATTTCCTTCAGTCTTACTCTAGCTTTCTTTCTTCGCCAACTAACTTTCCAAGTTAGTGCATTTGGATCATCAAATGGTTCTTCCTCTATTTTTGTGTCTATTATTTCAGAAACAATTTAGTTAAAGCATTTTTGGGAGAACTAGCCTGTTGATATTCATTAAACAGCCTCCCTCCTTCTCCAATTCCCCACAATTCTGCTAACGGCTTTATCTTCCATTCCGTCAGCTCTCCTTCCTTATCCTCCAGTATATTCTGAAACCTTGGTTTGTAAAATGTCTTTTCCTTTTCTAATGTTATCGTTGTGTCTTCTAAGTCTTCATTTATTTGAGTCTGATCACTGTTTTCTTCCTTTAGATCCTCAAAATTTGTGTCAGCATTCTTTGGTTTTCCTTCTATTTCTGGGTTGCTGGTGTCTTCTCTGTAGTTATTTTCTGAATTTGTAGATTTAAATTAGAAGATTGTTCTTTTATCTCCTTTGTATTATTTTGAATCTCATTACAAGCTAAAGCCATTGTTTTTTCTATTAATTTCAACTTGGAGAGAATTTCATTCTGTGGTTCATAAGTATTTTCTTGGTAAAAATGGCAAACTGAAACTTCTAGGGACAGATATTAAGGATGGGTTTTACTATTTAGAGCTAAGTATGAAGCATCCATTGTATTTTTTAAGTAGTCTTTATAAATTTATCCAACCAACTACTCATTCTTAAACCTCCCCTAAGCAGATTTCAAATTTTTCTGTCCAATGAGAAAGATATCCTTTCTGTCCAGGGATAAAAAGAACCATTAAAGATTGTAAAAGTCCAGATTTATAATCCAAAGTGTTTCATCATATCAGCCAGTAGTGTATGTTTCTTCTACAGGAACATAGTTCCACAATACAGCTCTGAAAGTCAGTATTTGGGTTCATAGTTCAGACAGGCCAATTTTAGAATAATATTATCATCTCGCCACATAGATAAGCAGCCCCCAAGTCTGTTCCTTTTTCTCAGCTGCAGTTCTCAAAAATAAAAACATCAAGGCAAGCCAAAGTCTTATCTAGCTCTGGGCTTCGAGCCAGGTTTCCTTTAGGCATAAATAAATTGTAGTACCATAATTCACCACTTCTTCTTCTTGTGCAATATCCATTATCGGGCATTGGTGGTCATGTTGCCGATCCTGTTTTTATTAGCAGCCACACGAAAAAGTGCTGCTGAGTTTTGTCCAAATCAATTCACCACTAGATGTCATCAATGCCGTTTTTCAGTTTTTAAATCCAAAACTTTGGGCAAAATTTCAGGAAGAAATCTTAAAGTCATGAAGAGAGGCTTAGATCTCACCCAATTTCATCCACATTCCTGTAAGATTGCTTGATAGTGCATGGTGTCTTCCGTTGGCAGCAGCTTCTGACTGGCTACACGAATGCAGCCAGTCTTTCCCCCACTGGTTTGGAGGGCTTCCACCCCCCCATCAATGAAGGTCCCCTCCTTGCTTGCCGCCTCTGTGTGGCGACTTTTGACCCTTCTCTCAGCAGGGCGAAATCAAACACAAATGTTGGAGCCCCATCTTCCTGCATTTGCCTTGCCCGAAGCCAAAACCAAAAGCCCTTCCAAAAATACTTTAATCAAATTCTCTTCCCCATTCCAAACAATACATATAAAAACAGAGAAAACATTACTTGATGATTCTAATGTACTGACTTGGATAGTTACTTGGCAAAGGAAGAAAGCTAGAGTAAGACTCAAGAAAATAGAAGTTTTGACTTACTAGATTGGATATTATACTATTAAACAGAGGTTTGAATATGCTTAAGAGATAACTGTTAGAAATAGAAGTATTATTATAATTAGAAAGATAGGATTTTCAATTAGAATACGGTATTATATTTTGTTATGAGATGGGAAATATGAAAATTTTAAAAGGGTTTGAAAAAGCGAATCTCTTGGTTACCCAAATATAATCTATTATGAGAAAATTATAAGCGATAGAAATATCTTGAACATTGATGGAAAATTAAAATGTTAAAAAGGGGAAAAAGGATATTGACTGAACAAATGGATTTTAAGTGCAAATACAATAGAGATATGTTTTGGCTAGAAAAGATACTATAAACGGACACGATCAATATTATGTATAATACCAGAAAAATATGATGAAGATGTCTATATTTAATTGTGTATGTATTAACAACAATAAGAACTGTATTTGTCCAGTATGGGAAAATGTGAACCCCACTGGAGGAATAGAGGACCAAGGAAGCACTGGATGGTGTAGTATTGGAAGTAGACTGGGAAAGTTAATATGTACCACTGAATTATTAGTGGACCCAGACAGCACGTTGTTTATTAAGTACTTATGATTGTAAAATTAGAAAACTAATAAAATATGCATTTAAAAAAAGAAGAAGAAGAGGTGGTCCACCAGAGAGATTTTGGGAGACTGCTGGGTCACTTTGGAGGAATGAGGCCAAGGGAGAAAGCTAAAATTATTGTTGTTCTCAGGATGCTGGAGGAAAGCAGGAAAATCTTACTATAGTGAGTTGGACTTTGATTCCAAAGAATCAACACAAGAATTTCCACCAAAGTAGATTAAGGGAGAAAGCCCCCATTGTTTAAAATGTCAGTGTGAAAAGTATGAAAATTCTGCCAGATTCCAACATATACTCAGTTTCTATGTTGGTTGAGACCTTTGATATATGTGGGTTCAGCAATCTCTTGTTCAATTATGCAATTAAATAATGTTTTTCCAAAACAATCTTGGAAGCCTACATCAGAGTTCAACCTCCCAGGATTAGTTTTGCATCTGAGGAAGTGAGATGCAGATTCTAAAACTTACAGCTTTTAATAAAATTGTGTAAATGGGGAAACATACTACCAGTCTCCTGATATGAATCTGTTAGAAGAGTTGTACCCACTGGTTCAAAGTGCAGTGTGATTATTGTCCTGGCGATACCCAACTGCAATTTGTCCTCCTGAGCTAAACAAAGTCTTGTCCTGGTATCTGGAGGCTGTTGGGGTCTGAGTGGAGTGAAACAGTTTTAACCCAAGCAAGACAGAGATGCACTTTACCTGCTGAGTATCTCTCTCCAACATTATCTTCTCAGGGGGAAGCACTGCTAATGTGCTAATCCATCACACGTGGGTCTTCCTAGTCTCACAGCTACTGCTAGATGGGCAGGTAGAAAGCATGGCCAGTAAGGCCTTTACTCAGCTTCAGGTGATGCACTAGCCGTGGCTGTACCTGCAGTGGAAGATCTCACAAGAGCAAAGTATCACATGATACATGGATCTGCCTTTAACATCCTCTTGAAAGCCACAATAGGTGCAAACTGGAGTGGCCTCCAGACATTAGCGGTCAGAAGTAGACTATACTGGTATGGCAGGCCCTGCACCTCTTACTCACAACTTTTGGCTACAATTTAAAGCTGCTTTGGTGAGCTTCTGGAGATTGATGGGTGGACACTCTCAGGTTCATGGACAGCATGTTAGCATCAGCCAGCATGAGCCAGCAGTGTGCTGCAGCTGCGAAAAAAGCCAAACACAGTGTTAGACTGCATTAACAGAGGGATAGAATCAAGATCATGTGAAGTATTAATACTACTTTACAAGGCCTTGGTAAGACCACACTTGGAATACTGCCTCCATTTTTGGTCACCACGATGTAAAAAAGATGTTGAGACTCTAGAAAGAGTACAGAGAAGAGGAACAAAGATGATTAGAGGTCTGGAGGCTAAAACATATAAGGAACGGTTGCTGGAATTGGGTATATGTAGTTTAACAAAGAGAAGGATGAGGGGAGGACATGATAGCAGTGTTCCAATATGTCAGGGGCTGCCACAAAGAAGAGGGAGTCAAGCTATTCTCCAAAGCGCCTGAAGGCAGGACAAGAAGCAGTCGATGGAAACTAATCAAGGAAAGAAGCAACCTAGAACTAAGAAGAAACTTCCTGACAGTTAGAACAATTAACCAGTGGAACAACCTGCCCCCAGAATTATTATTATTATCTTTTATTCATTAAACATGAACCTTTCAACTGAACATTCAAACTGGCTGGTACTGATGGTTGACACAGGTTGCTACCAGCATCCTAGGTGTCAACCAGGTATCTCCTTAAAATATAAGATATTCCGAGTAGTTTTTTGTAACATTGCTGGAGTTATTGCAGGAAGCTGCAGTTTCTTGATGTATTTTGCAAAGTTTTTGGACATAGTTCCCAGTGCCAGACGATGACAATGGGTACCACTGTTACACGTTTCATCCATAATTGCGCAGTTTTGATCGCAGGTTGCAATATTTTGTAATTTTTCCAGTTCTTTTTCTTTGATTCTGGCATCTTCTACTACAGCGATGATGATGATGATGATGATGATTAGTTTTAGAATAAATTTTCATTCTGAACTTTTTTTAGTATTAATATTATTGCCATGGATGTTTTATCACTACTGTGATAAAATTTTATTGTGCTCTTGAAGTGACACCAGCAAGGACTCTGAGAAGCAAATAAGTACATAACACGAAGAAATAAAGCACATAATACATTTGCAGAAACATGACATTTATTAGTCATTCATTTGAGAGGGAATTACAGCACTGTGACCCAAGAACACGCAGATTAAAATGCATGCACCAACATTCTCTAAGTAGAGCAGAAGAGAGGCTTTCCACTTTGACTAGTTTAAGGTGTTGTATACTAGAAACAGACATGGATACATTCAGCTGTGTTTAGACTATCATGTGAGATCACTGCATCTCTTGAGAAGAAAAACCACGTAAACCAATACAATTCAATGTTTCATGAAAATAGACTGAATCGTGCAAATTCAGCCAGAGTGATGGCATACAGAATTTCAGGTATCCAAAACTCTCATTTAAATACCTAGTCAAACGAGGATGGATAATGTTTCCTGAAAGTTTTAGATGCCAGATAATTCTTCACATGTATCAAGAGAAAGAAAATAATAAGGCTCTTTGGCAACTGTTATGAACTGTACTGAACTGATGTGGCATAAAGGGCCTTCCTATTGTCCATGTCAATATGGTCTCCTCCATTTAAACTGCTTCTACGTAGTTGGCTGGAAGCATGCCTGTTTTGCCTGTTCTTTGCACAGTTCCATACATCCATCCTTCATCTACGGCTTGGACGTTGACAATTGCATCACCATCTTTGAAAGAGACTTCATCAGCATCTGCTGCTGTGTAGTCATACACAGCACGGTAAGTCTTCTATTGTGTCATATTAGAGAGAAAAAGAATAACCAAATGTTACTAGCAGAAATGTAGAGTGCAGCGAACAATCAGTTCAACACTTCTGCAACTGTGCAACTTTCAATAGAAAGACCTCCCTCCCAAACACATCAATGATACCGTTCAGTCCCACAAGTGGATATATATTCATCCCAAAGATGATTATTCGTTCAGACACACAAGGGTTCTTTTTTCTCCCAAGAAATGGGAGGCAGGCAGGCAATGATGAGGTAATGATAAAATGTGACATAAACCAAGTTTCCTCCCCATTTACAATTTGCCATCATGACCTTTTATGTAAGCATGTAAGGAGCAAAGCTTGATGTCATGAACCAGGTTCCACCATTTTGATGAGGTCATGGCTTGTTGTGGACTCACCTGTACATAGGCTTGATTTACAAATACCCTCTGCCTGCAGAAAACTTCATTTTTATAGATACTTTTGTTGGATCATTTTGCTTACCCCTGCAGTAGACGGATGAGAGGGGATGGAAGATACTGTAGTCTGTTGCGTTCCAACAGAAGATGATCTTTGTTGTGGGAGCTCTACAGTTTTGGCATGTTTATAACCCACTAAGGAAGGAAAGGAAGTTGAAATATATCAGAAGAAGCAAACACCAAAACAAAAAAACCCTGGTATGTTTTCAAAATACAGTTAAATGGTGCTTGAACACTGGGTATGTTTTCAAATTTTGTTAGTGATTGGGACTAGACATTACTGTAGCACTGATGTATGCATCATTAGAACATCTCTTTGTAAAAGAAATGGTAAAACAATATCTGCCCACAGAGATACAAGGGTTTTGCTACATTTATTGATTGAAAAGAATCACTCTGAATAGGGCTGAAGAGATTGGATTCGCCCTACCACATGGAATATTATATGAGTAAACACCTGTTTGAATATGGCTAAATAAATAAATAACTTTGGCCAAAAAAGCACTTTATAATAAGTGGGATTTTTAGTATTTTTTGATAAGATACAAAATGTAAAAATATTAGGATGTTGTAACTGAAGGGAAGGTTTAAGTTTTAAAGACAAATTAAGTTTGAAAAGATTTAGGATTAAGGAAAGATTGAAATATTGAGGAGAAATTAGACTTAATAAGAATTCTGAAAAAAAAGGATATATAGTGATTTAACTAATTTCTACAAATAGAAGTTTAATATAATCTGACTAGAAAGATGTTATGGATAGATGTTATGAGATTAGTATAGTATCTCTAGAATATATGAAATATGAAAATACTGGGATGATATATTTAAATGGAAAATTTGGATATTTAGATGTTAAATACTGGGAGAATATGATTGACAAGAGTTGTTTGAATATTATGGAGAAATTGAGCTTAAACAAGATTTATGAAAATAAGATACCGTATATTCCGGCGTATAAGACGACTTTTGAGAGCGATGAAACAGCCTCCGAACTCGGGGGTCGTCTTATACGCCGAGTCATAACGTTTATTTATTTATTTATTATTTCCGGCGTATAAGATGACGTTCTAGGCATGCGACTCGGTGTCGATCATCTTATACGCCGGAAATGACGTCATTTCCGGCGTATAAGATGATCGACACCGAGTCGCATGCCTAGAAAGTCATCTTATACGCCGGAAATGACGTTATAAACTACGTTTATTTCCGGCGTATAAGATGACTTTCTAGGCATGCGACTTGGTGTCGATCATCTTATACGCCGGAAATGACGTTATTTCCGGCATATAAGATGATCGACACCGAGTCGCATGCCTAGAAAGTCATCTTATACGCCGGAAATGACGTTATTTCCGGCATATAAGATGATCGACGCCGAGTCGAATGCCTAGAAAGTCGTCTTATATGCGACTCGGCGTCGATCGTCTTGCAACCCGGCGTCGAACTCGGGGGTCGTCTTATACGCCGGATCGCCTAATACGCCGGCATATACAGTACATGGTGAATCAATAAGGTGACTTTTATGAAAATAACATAAGCTGATAAAATGCTATATATGAATGCTATTATTGTTGGTATAAATATAGAAGAAAATGTTTTTATTTAATCATTTAAATACGGAAAATGTCAAATATTAGAAATTATATTTGTTTAATGTTATAAAAGGAGAATACTATTGGGTGAAGAGAAGATCAAGGAAATATATTTTCAATTAATATACTAATTATGGAAATTAATTACTATTGATTGTTTATTAATTATTATTAACTGTATATTTTTTCTAAAAAATTTATGAACCAAGACAACACGCTGTACAGCAGGCACTAAGGTTGTTATTGTAAAAAACCACTAAAACTTTTACAAAAAAAGAAAAGAATCACTCTGATATTGTACATTAAATAAATTTTGGCAGTTATATGTTCCATTGTCAAGAAGATGTCATCATGCTATAACCAACCCTTACGTAGGTATCAAAAATAATGTGCGTCTCTTATAGTAGCTAATGTTGATACGATGGCAGCCAACATGTTGCATTATTCCTAGTCTTCCCACTCTGCTTTATTGGCGGTGAATTGCTTTGAGCAATGACTTACAAGTTATGTATGAAATTCCTCTTGATGGTAATTTGTCAACGGTGGCAAAATCATAGTTTTCCTTCCAGTTCCATCTTTTCCATCATTTATTTAACAAATAAAATAAATCTGAGATTTGCTATTAACAATACTTTTCTGGCCTTTTTATCAAACTGCAAGGAAGTTGATTATGTTCTAAATGAAGGCTCATGAGGCAAGTAAGCAAATCAAAGTCAAAAGAAAAAAAAAGAATTTATGATTTATTTTATTGATGCTGAGACAGGCTAGGTTATAAAAAGAAGAGAGTCATGAGATAACTTTAACAGAGAAGTTAAAACATAACTATTGTAAAAAAGATTGGGGCACTTCTGGTTTGCTGCGTGACCGCCATGGACGCTCAGAAGACGAGTCTCATCTTCCCCGTCCAATTTTGCATCGCTGGGGGACCCTGAAAAGGGTCGAAAGTCACCCCGTAGAGGCAACCAGCAAGGAGGGGCCCTTGCTGGATCGCAGGAGAGTGGCAACTCTCCCACTAGAGCCAGCAAATCCCTCCAAACCAGCAGATGAAAGACTGACCATAGAGATATGGTCCATCACAAGGCTGCAGACAGCCGAAGTCACACCTGCCATCTGGCACCTAAAGCAGCATGGAAGAATCTGGGTGAGATCTACCTCTCTTACATCCTAATTACTTATTTACCTGCATAAGCTGCTAAAATACTTTCCCCCTGTGGTGAGGGAAGGGAGATTTTAGCCCCCCCTCCAGAAACAGCGGCAATTGACTATCCAGGGGAGCTTAAAATATTGAAAAAATACTGTCTACTTCCTAAAATTTGTGGATTACAAGATTTGTTGTTTTCTATTCTTTATTTTTCTCTGATTTTTATTCTTTATTTTTACTGAAGATCTGGGTTTTTTCTTTTAAAATAGAAGGGGAAAAAATGAAAAGATCAAAACAACTCTGGGGTGGCTAAACTTGAGATTGTAACCTGTTACTGTCTAAGAGAGACTTATTGACAGCTTAGAAAATAGATAAGATATAAGCAACCTTGAAAATCCAGCTGCAAGAAACTCAGGTCTGCTCTTCACTTAGTGGACTTTCTGACTGTAAGCTTTTACTTTAATATACTATAATGGAAGAAGAACAGGAATGGACTTTTCCTACAGAGGAAGAACAGGAACAAACTCTTTGTATGTTAAAAGCGATTGTCCAAACTCTTCTTACAACTGGTGATGAAAAAAAAGCAGCAGGAAAAAACAAGAAAGCAGCCTGGATATGCAAACTCAAATTATGACTTCAACTAAAGAATCATCTACAGAATGCTACAGAGAAAGTGGAACATATCAAACACTATGATAGAAGATTCAACTACTCAACAAATACAGATAATGGAAGATACAGAAAAGAAATTGATAATAGAGAAAAAGGAAAGGACTTTTCTTATAAATCAGAAAGAACCTGAAGATGAAAAAGAAAAACAGATGAAAGAGAAGATAAACACTTTGGGACAACCATGTCCCAAAGATGGAAAAACAAGGAGACGACCTCATAGATCAGCTAGCCCTCTTTTAAAAAAGGCAATTGGATTGTCTTTTCAACACCAAACAAAAGCCACAACAACACAAGGAGATCTGCTTGATGATTTAAAAGCAAAGACATGAAAGATGATTTGGCAAAGAAAGAAAGCTAGAATAAGACTGAAAAAGACTGGGGTTTTGATTTACACATGAGATTTAAAATAGAATATACCAAAATAGATAAAATATGTATTCTGAATATAAGACATTGTAACAACTTGAGATAAAGAAAATTTTGATTATGTAAAGTTAAGTATAAAATTAAAATAAGAACATTATATTGTTTTATTAATTTGTTAAGGTAGATGGTAAGAATCTATATATAAGGTGTGTATCTTAAACATTAGATTGTGTGAGGAATTGTGATAAAGGAATTGTGGTTAATTAAAAATCTGGAAAAATAACTATTAAACGTTAAATTTAAATATTAAGGGAAAATTAAAATGGGAGAAAGCTCATTAGGTCACTGATTGGCTAAAAGATTGAATATTTAAAAACAATTAAGATTTGAATTCAAGATGTTGTTATGAGTCGAGACAAAGAAAAATTTTGGTTAAGTAAAACTTAGAAGTAAAATACTAATAATTAAATTTGTATATTGGTTTGTGGTATAAATGCTAATAGGTTAAAAAAATATTAGTCTCAAATATGAGATAGGAGACATAAAGAGGAAAAAAAGAGAAAATATTAAGTGTGGAAGTAAAAGAAATCTTGGCTGTTAAATTTGAGATTCTAAGATACTTGAGAATTACTAGAAAAATAAGAATATTACTTTGTATTATTAATTGATTGATGCAGATAGTGAGAATCATGTATAGATAAGAGGTATATCTGGAACTTTAGACTGTGGGGGAACCGTGATAAAAATTGGGGTCATTTAAAATTTGGAAATGATAAAGATTAAACATTAAATTTAAAATATTAATGGGAAATTAAAATTAAGAAAAATTTATTAGATCATTGACTGTCTAAAAGATGGAAGCCACTTCTTTATATCTTTCTTTATAACTCTTTTCTTCTTTCTTTATATCTTCTTTTCTTTCCTCACTTTTAGCTTTTTCTTATCTTTTCTTTTTTTGTTCTAGTTTAGTTTATATTAGTTTTTATTTATAATTTTTTCATAAATACTTATACAATTTGTGCCTCCAATTTCCCCTATAAGGTAACTATACTGAAATCAGAATTAAGAGATGTCTTAATTTTTTACCCCATCGGCCACCTCCAGTGGTTAGTGGCTCCTTCATATACAGTTGATGGGAGGGTTTTTTTTTTTTTACCTGTTGTAGTTGTGGGGAGAAAGCCTCCATTGCTGTAATATGACAAATGCTGATCAGCAGCCTCTGAATGCTCAGATTTTTCATCCCCGCCACTGAGACTAAGAGCACTGGCAGAACGTGAATGCTCTCGGCTACGTCGCTGGGCTTGAACTGGGAGCCAGAGGTGAAGAAATAATAGTCAGGGGGAACATTGTGGTTTCAAATCAGCATACTTAGCAGGAAAGTAAGGTTATTTTAAATTCCTAACCATATAAAGCTGCATTTTGAGAGAAAACCATGAAGTGCTATCAGTACAATACTCACAATTTCACAGAAAGCACAACCTACCTGCCAGCAAATGTAAGCTTCTCGACTGAATGTTATCTTCCGCTGGGTCATAGTCAAAGACCGATCCAGGATTGGTTCTCCATACACGAAGGCCTGCAGAAACATATGATTAGAGTTGGATGTTGTTTTATGTTATTGCAGTTTTATTTTGCAACCAAACAGTCAAAATGCAAGTAAATTAATGCTTGTAGTTTTTATAAGCCACATTTAGAAAACACTTTACTAGTTGCTTGAAATGCAGCTTGATTGAGAAACAACAAAGCAATGAGGCTTTGCTATTCTTTGTAAACATAACAGACAAACAATTATGGTTAGATGGTCTAAGATACTTTCCAAACAATTGAATCTGGAATATACCAATAACTCAATAAGCAAGTTCAATATAAAGTCGCCAATGTGCAGAATAATATCTGCACGCTATGAACAATGAATTTTACAAACAGATTTGACATAATGTAAATTTTAGTACAAGTAGGCACAAGATAAATCACATTTTTTTTAAAAAAAGTATTCGTTAAAACTAATTTTCTGCCACATATCTTGACTCAATGTCTTATAGTTTTGTCTGTTTGGTTTACAGAAGACCCACACGATATAAAATATACCTGTTAAGTTATTCATTTCTTGATCCTGATCTATTCGTTTTTGCTCCATTTCTACGACTCGTCTCTGAATCCCCCTATAGTTAATGTCACTGAAGTCCTGCATATTCTTCTTTACACGTTCTGTTATGGGATCCGTGACTACAGGTGTGAAGCTACCTTTGGTCTTTTCAAAGTCTTCATGGTATTTCACCTGGAATTAAAAAAAAAACAATGTCCATTCCAGATAGTCATATTTGAGATAGTTTTCTTCAACCTGATAATAATAATAATAATAACAATAATAATAATAATAATAATAATAATAATAATAATAATAGTAATACAGTTGGAAAGGACCTTGGAGGTCTTCTAGTCCAACTCCCTGCTCAGGCAGGAAACCTTTTACTATTTCAGACAAAAGGCTGTCCTGTCTCTTCTTAAAAACTTCCAGTGTTGGAGCATTCACAACTTCTAGAGGCAGGTTGTTTCACCAATTAATTGTTCTAACTGTCAGGAAGTTTCTCCTCAGTTCTAGGTTGCTTCTCTCTTTGATTAGTTTCCATCCGTTGCTTCCTGTCCTGCCTTCAGGTGCTTTGGAGAAAAGCTTGACTCCCTCTTCCTTGTTGCAACCCCTGAGATATTGGAACACTGCTATCATGTCTCCCCTTGTCCTTCTCTTCATTAAATTAGACATACCTACTTCTCAGGTGGGAATGAGAAAAGCACTTAGGGCACTAGCTTTATTTTGCATAGAATACAAACTATTAATAAATTATGAAAAAACTAAAGTTTTAGTATTTGCCTCTTACCATCATAAGATCTATAAATGGCAAATTGATGGGACTCCAATTGAACAGGTGCGTACTTATAAATATCTTGGAGTGCAGTTCCATGCCTCCCTATCCTGGCATACTCACTTTCTCTATCGAGCAAGTGTTGCACAGCGCACTTCATCAGCTATCATAAAATTTTATCATTCTAAAGGAGCTTATTACATCCCGGCAGCTTGTAAGGTTTTCCAAGCTAAGGCAGTCCCTCAGCTCCTCTATGGCTCGCAAACATGTTCACTTGCAAAGCTTAATGCTATTGAAATTATTCAAAATAAGTTTATTAGAGCCATACTGATGGTACCTAAAAGTATTAAAAATGCCATTCTACAGGTGGAAATAGGTTTAGTTTCATTGGAAGCTAGAACATGGTTCCTTCTTCTTACCTTTTGGCTAAAGTTAATTTTGATGCCTGTAGGGTTAGCCCCGTTAGTATTTATAGAGCAGGGCTTTTCAACCAGTGGTACGGGTACCACCTGTGGTACTTTGGCACCTGGCGGGTGGTACATGACCATCCTAGAAAAGTGGTAGGGGGGGAGGGGAATGAGCTGAACTGGTGGCAGCACTGCACAAGCCTGAGTGAGAGATGGCTGGAGCTACAGGGCTGTCAGGGCTCAGCAGTAGCGCCAGAATCGACGCTTCTTTGGGACTGTCAGAGCTCAGTGGAAGTGCCAGGATCAGTGCCAGGCTCCAGCTGGAGCTCAGCGCTGATCCTGGCGCTTCTGCTGAGCCCAGAAGAAGTGTCGATCAGCTGGAATGTTGCAGCATCTGGAATGCAGCCTCTCCAGGGTCTTGTGATTTACATTCAGATTCTTGGCAACTGATTCATATTTATGATGGAATCAATGTCCCAGGGTCATGTGAAGTGACCAAAACCTGCTGCAACCACCCAGCAGACAGGGGAATAAAAACCAAACACCCCCACCCCACCCCCGCTGCCAATCCTCAACAGAAATGCTCATAACAATGAAAACCTCGGACAGGAGGAAGAGTGCCGCAGGCAGGTATCTGGCTCGGCTGTGCCTTGGGGGGCCCTTTTTTCAGTGCCATTGTAATTTTGAAGAGTCACTAAGAGAACTGTTGTAAGTCAAGGACTACCTGTACTTTATCACTTTTTTCCTTTTTTTTTTTTTTGGTCATCAAGTTTTTGACACCTTGCTAGGCAACTGGTAGTACTCAGATACTGCCATATCCTAAAAGTGGTACAATGGGTGGAAAGGTTGAAAAGCCCTGCTCTATGGAAAGTCTGTGTTCATTAGGATTTGATAATGCTAGAACCGCCTTGAAACAATGTATCTGGGATATTGATCTCCAAACAAACTTAAGTAAGGTGGCACATTCCAATATTTATCACTTGCTTCCAGAAGGATTCTTCCCAGCTTCTTATCTATTTTCCATTTCAATTTTGCAATTTCGTAAAGCTTTCACCTTAGCTAGGTTGGATGCGTTGCCCTCGGCAGTCCTTTTTGGACTGTTTAAGGGCATTCCTATGCACCTTCGGTTGTGTCCATGTGGTGATGGCTCTATAGCAGCGGTTCTCAACCTGTGGGTCAGGACCCCATTTGGGGTCGAACGACCATTTCACGGGGGATCGCCAAACAATGCAGTCCGCCATTTTTTTCCCCCTTTCCTTAGCTGCGCTACTCCCTTTTATTCTATTGGCTTTTGGAAGCCAATAGAATAGATTCTCTTGAATAGAGTCTAATTCTATTGGCTTTCAAAAGCCAATAGGAATTGTCCAGGCTGTCTCTGCCCTGCTGAGCCTGCCAAAAGTCCCATTCTGCAAACGGTGCTGCAAGCTGTCTGCAGCGAAGGCGAGTTGTCTGGAAGTTTCCACCCCTCCCTGCTGAGCAACTACTAAAAATGTAAGTAAAAGAGGGCCAGGGGTAGGAGGTGAGAGGCTGGCGGGCACAGGGAGGGTTTCTGGCACACATGGGGCCCAGCGGGTACCTTACCTCCCTTGAGCTGGGCCAGCTGGTGGCCCAGCCGGCGGGCGGCCTGCACTGTCTCTGCCGCTTGCCAGCTATGCCTCGGCCAGCACAGGGGGTGGCACCACGCATGCGCGGCACTCCCAGTCACGGAAAGTCCTTGACTTATGACCAGTTGGGTAGTCCTCGACTTACGACCGGTTGGGTAGTCCTCGACTTATGACCGGTTGGGGGTCGCAGCATTAAAAAGGTTGAGAACCACTGCTCTATAGAAACCCTAAGCCATATGCTGCTTCATTGTTCTCTATATAAAGACTCTAGACCAGGGCTTTTCAACCTTGATTGTTACATTGATTGTTTAATGGTTTTATATTCTGTAAATATGGAAGTAAAATTGTCACTGCTGTTATATTTTGATTATGTCTGACCTTATGGCTGTAATACACAGATTGATTGATTGATTGATTGATTGATTGACATACCCAAGTATATTATGTCTAGTAGTGGAGTACAACACCCATATTTTCATCCTCCAATAGCTAGGAATTATTTCCCCAATAATTAATTTTGCTAATTAAATAAGGCATCTATAGTATCTTTGCTTGAAAGGCATCAGGTTGGGGAAGGTTATCTTAAGTAATTGCTTAATATCTTAATACCCATTGAAATTATAAAAATTTATATTGTAAGCTGAGTTGATTTTTTGCTTTGGATGTTACATTTGGAACTGCTACATCTTAAAATATGTTACTGTTGATAGTTTACTTGGGCTATTTCTTGGTTTTCATACAAAGCTGTACTCACTGTGGAAATGTGCCGTTGTGACTCCCGAACACGCCTCATTTCAGGGGTATCCAGGACAAAGGGTGCTTTACCTTGTACTTGCTTCCGGAAGCTATCCGAATAGAGGATCTGATAAAATCAGAGAGTTTGAATTAATGACCCCAGACATTAGTGAGTAGATTTTTAAGTGATGCTTCATTTAGAAGTTGTAAGGAATCAAGAAATGCCAAACATGCAAGCAAGCTTAGAGGCATAAACCTTTATTCTTTATTAATTCTTGATCTTAAAAAGTTATTTGGCATGTAATAATATTGTTTTTTTTAAAGATCTATTTATGTAATCTTTTATAATCTCTTAACCTAGTGAACCTGGAGGGCTCCAAGGAGAACACAGACAACTGTTTTGTGTGGTCTCAGATTCTTCATCATTTCTTTCTGCATGGCTAATAGAAGGTTCGAAGACCTTCTGCTTACAAACATGGTCTATTTCCAACATGGTGCAATACAACAGTCCATTTTAATCCCAGGCACTCAAATCAACCTTATGACATTCCAAGAAAAAGTGCCAGTTTTAGATGTTGGATACTCCAAGGCTATGGCGCTTCTATCGTGATTTGGTAGCTCCCCAAAGCACTTGGTGCAAATTCTTTCCATGCAAACTTGAAGCACAAGTGCTACACTCAAGACCAAGGGTGGTCTCACTTGCTCCTAGACTGCAAAGAATTGTAAGGAAGAGAGAGACCCAATATCAGATAGAAACCAACTCTGGGATTAGTGTTGATAAGGTCCCAAAGGGGAGAGCAGATCATAAAGTCCAGGATTGGTCTTCTGAGAATGATAAAAGCCACAGAAAGGCGATGAAGGCGCTCGAAGTAGCGCCACCACCATCTCAATATGGCTCAAATGCCTTTGTGCATTTACACAAAAGGCATGTGTACCTTGACACCTACAATTGTATGTGTGTTGACTTCTTCCTTCTTTTTATGTCTTATGTTATCGGACATAAAATGGTTAAAAATATTTGTAAAAAACTGCTTCAAGGCAGTCTGAAGAAATCTTAAAACTTACATTTAGAAGAATGCAGACTTGTTTTTTTAAAAAAAAAAAAATCTAAAATGCAAAGATCATTTTTGACCCATGTAGCATGAATAATGTAAAGACTATTTGTCTTTTTTTTTAAAAAAAAAGTTAAGCTGTTTATTGAAGACAGTGACAACTTTAAAATCTTTAAGCCATGCTTAAGTAGAAATATGACACAATTAAAAACCAGATCATATGCCTAGGTAACGTATTAGTTTCTAAATGCCAACATAAAGCTATAGCATTGATGCAATTATTAGTCTGGAAATATTTTGAACGTGTGTGTGTGTGTGTATGCATGCATAAGCAATAAATATATATAAAATATAAATTGATTGTCCTGAAAATACCGAGCTAATATTTTCTTGATTGCGTTTGGCCCTCTCCATCTCTGGAGTCATAGAAGTTGGGGTTCCTTTTCCCAGGCTTTCTTTGTACAAAACCTACACAGCATACAAGAAAGTGTTCAAAAATCAAAGATGAGATGCTTGTTTGTGAACAATTTCGTTAAACTGGATTACTATAAAGTAAGAGTTTATAATCATTGCATAAGTAAACATATAACCCAGGAAATAAAGTGGTTAAATATTACAGGGTAAAATAAAAAGAATAACAAAAATGACATTAGAAGGAGAAAAGGAGTGTTGTGTTTAAAAAATATAAAATGAATAGGATTGAGATATATTAGATGAAGGACAAGATTGATCAAATGTGTTATTTTAAGTTACTTCATTTTTTTTTCCAATACCAAGCTAATGTTTTCTTGATTGCGTTTGGCTCTTTCCATCTCAGGAGTAATTGGTGTTGGGGTTGCTTGCCCCAAGTTTTCTTTGTAGAGGACCTGAAGATTGTAAAAGTATCCAAAAATCACACAATCACAAAAAGAGTCACAAAAATATAATTCAAATAAAATTTCTAGCTTTTTTTCTTTTGCAAAAAAAGGGCTCGAAGACATTTTCTGAAAAGAATACTAATAAAAATATAAAAATAGATTATGATTAAAAACTTCATGATGTCCAAGGTAAATTTCTTAAAAATGAAATGTCATTTGAGATAGTTTTTTTTCTCTATTTCACACAAGTTAGGAAAACATATACGTTATTGTTCACAGTTACCTGGTTTTAGATTCTTATGAAATCAAATAAATACAACTGCAATATGAACGCACGACAAAGAGGTGCTTGAATCAAACCTCACATGTTTGTTAGAGGGATCTCTATTCCGTGACAAATCATAAAGAGAAACTGTAGTATATTTTGGTGGAAAGACATTAATAAAGGCAACATTCAAGTAGCAGCATTTAGAAGGAAAAAGAAGGTGAGATGATTAATACAGACAATATTATTTTAAAGATAAGGATTCTATCCAGTTAGCAAGATCCATTACATTGCGCAATGGTTCTTTTCAATGAAGTCTTTGTGGCTAAAATAATGGTCCAATATTAGTTACCTTACTAATGGAATAATAATAAAATTTATAAGGAGAACTGAACAAGAAAACCTTGCTGATGATGTTACCTAGTTTGGTAATGAAATGTTCAGAAACTATATTGAAACAAGCTTGGAGAGCAAACCACTGCCAAAATCTAAAACCCGAGCTACAGGTATTTACTATTATTTCAAAATAATAAAATAACTTCTGCTTCCTATCAATTGCTGACTCAGTGAAAGCCATGCAAAGAGGAAATTATCTTGAGATGTTTTCTTCATAGGGGATGGACTAAAGGCACAGTGTATAGTTCTCCATACCAACTCACATAGGTCTTTTCATTCTCATTCCTGTACATACTTCTGATCACATCTTACTCCTGCAGATATTAAGGCTCTATGGAGTTCTTGGCGCTCTCTGAGCTTGGATGTCTTGCTTGCAGATGTCTCATTACTCGACTAGGTAATATTATCAGTGCTAGTTTGCTCTCTGTTTAGATACAGTAGCTTGCCCTGTCAGTGCACTACCAACCCCCCCCCAAAAAAAACATACCCCCACCAACCCTGGCAGGGCAAGATGCTGTATATAAACAGAGAGCAAACACCACACCCACTAGCACTGATGATGTTACCTAGTTGGGTAGTGAAACCTCAGGAAACAAGCTCAAAAAGCAGCAAGGACTCTTAATCTTGATCCACATAGATTCCCTTCTATTGGTACATTAACATTTTATTCCTTTTTAGATTGGATGTGATACAATTTCTCTGGCAACCTTACTAGAACATGCTAAAAAAATTCAAGGCTATGAACAGTAACTCTGCTAAAGTAAACTACACTGAAATCCATCATTAATGTCAAGTCCCAAGAACCAAGAATGACAGGTGGGGTTACTTCTGAGAATTTCCTCTATTGTTCTTCACCGATAGGCAGAAATTTGCCAGACTAAAGCAAGTATATGGATAACTACAGATATACTCTAGGACAGTGGTTCTCAACCTTTCTAATGCCATGACCCCATAATACAGTTCCCCATGTTGTGGTGACCCCCAAGTGGGTGTGGCCACCAATAAGAGGGAGTAGGACAGCTAGGGAAAAGGGAAAAAAATGGCGGACAGCGTGGTTTGGCGACCCCCGTGAAATGGTCATTCGACCCCAAATGGGGTCCCGACCCACAGGTTGAGAACCACTGCTCTAGGACAAGGGTAGGCAACCTTGGCTCTTTTATGACTCGTGGACTTTAACTCCCAGAATTCCTGAGCCAGCATAGCTGGCTCAGGAATTCTGGGAGTTGAAGTCCACGAGACATAAAAGAGCCAAGGTTGCCTACCCCTGCTCTAGAAAGCTCTTTTAACCCTTTCTAAGTTTTGCTGCCTCTTTGCCCTCTGGAAAGCAGCCCCTCCATCTTGGGATTTCAAACTACATCCCATCCCAATTGTAATTTCTACAGAAGAATGCATTGCTAGTCTAAGTTAAGTTATTTCAGAATCATTTTTCCTAAATCTTGTTATCTCATTCCCACATTTCATCACATCAATTCCAGAACAAAACTCTGATTATGGTGTTTTTATTGCTGTGCAATTTTGCATAATCAGCAGCTGAGGTGCACATAGAAATGACAACCATCTGTTTGTATCTTAGCTTTTCATAATCACCAAAATGGATAGCCTTATATTTTAAGGTTATGTCATTGTCTGTGAATTATTCTGTCTCTTACAAAACAATTATTTGCATAAACCTCTTCTCAAGAACAGGTTATTTGGATCTGGATTCATAGCATGTAGTAATATCTGGATAGAGTCCTATTGTCCTTGTTGCTAGATTATTAAAATTCTTCAAAATCTGATGGATGAATATTGATATTAATATTAATCTCAGAGGTATCTTATGAGTAGAAGGTAAGTGATCAATATATCAGTATTTTATTTCAAGGATATTTTAGATACAAAAGGCAAAATTTCTGAAGTTTTGTTAGCATGTTATTATATTTTATTATATCAAAATTATTTTTGTTTTTAAAGTACCGAGCTAATGAACTCTTGATTGCGTTTCGCTCTCTCCATCTCAGGAGTGATAGGTATCGGGGTACCTTTCCCCAAACCCTCTTTGTACAAAACCTACAAGGTAAAAAAATGGGTGTCCAGTAACCATAGAATAGCAACAGGCAAAATGATATTTCAAGAGTTTATAATGTTAATGCCAGGAACACACCAGCTTTCAGTATAGAGACTGGCTGTTGATTTGTGTCAGCTAGAACAGAGACCTTCAGTCAACAACCAGATTAAAAAAAAACAACAATCTAGTAGGATAAGGAAGCTGATAGACAGCACACACCAATCAAACAATCTACTGAAGAAAGTAGCAACTCAAATCTTTCTGGGAATATATTAAGTTGCAGAAAGAGTTCAAAGGGTAGATGGTTTATGCCAAGAGGCAGAAATGGGAGCTACAGTTTGGTTAGAAAACACAAAGCTCTAACACATTTAATATTATTTTAAACCATTCATTCCTTTGCCTCTTTCTTTTAAATACCGAGCTAATATGTTCTTGATTGCGTTTGACTCTCTCCGTCTCTGGAGTGACAGGAATAGGAATTCCTTTCCCTATGCCCTCTTTGTATAAAACCTACAGGATATAAAAAAAAGGTACCCAATATTTACAAAACAGCAATGCTCATCAAAAGATGTTAATAGCATATGGTGTTAATACTTGGATCACACCAACTTCCAGGGAAGCTAGCTGGCTGTTGATTTCAGGGTCATCTGGAACAGAGACCTTTAATCAACACCCACAGAAGAAAAGGCTTTAGTGGGATAAGAAAGATAGACAAGCTTAAAAGAAAGGTGAAAACACTGGGTTTGCTGAAAAATAAATGTAATGAATCAAATCTTAGTAGTAGCAACAGTAGGAGCAGTAGTAGAAGACTTAGGTTGAAGAATGAATTCCAAGGATAGCAACCTTATTTTAAGGGTAAAATTGAGACTCAAACAGTTAGAAAGCACAGATCATTAACACAACTTATTTTTAAAATATTATGTATAATTTCTCTTCTTTTGAATACCGAGCTAATGTGTTCTTGATTGCGTTTGATTCTCTCTATCTCAGGAGTGACAGGTATAGGGGTACCTTTCCCCAGTCCCTCTTTGTATAAGACCTGAAGGATACAAAAGAGTATCCAGGAATTATGAAACAGCAATGATGAGAAAACATATTAATAGGTAGCGTGCTTAATATTTCTATTGCACCAGCTTCCAGTGAAGCCAGCTGGCTGTTGATTTCAGTGTCACCTGAAACAGAGAACTTGAATCAACACCCATAAGGGGGAAAAAAACCTGATAGGATAAGAAAGATCATAATGCAAAAACAAAGGGGGAGGAAATTCCATGTTTGTTAAAAAAAAAAAGGAGAAGTGAGCAAATCTTAGTAGCATAAGTACACATGGTCTGGAGAAGAAATTTCAAAGGTAGGCTTGTAAAAGATGAAAAAGCATTATTGAGAGTTAGAAAGTAAGATCGTTAACACATATCAGTTTACAGTATTTCTAAGAATTCTGGTCAGTTCATCTGAATACCGAGCTAATGTGTTCTTGATTGCGTTTAACTCTCTCCATCTCTGGAGTGACAGGTGTAGGGGTTCCTTTCCCTACATCTTCTTTGTATGCAACCTATAGAATACAAAAAGATGTACCCAATAATTACAAAACAGCAATGTCCATGAAAAAATATTAATAGTTTATGGTGTTAATACTTGGATCACGCCAGCTTCCAATGAAGCTAGCTGGCTGTTGATTTCATTGTCATCTGGAACAGAGACCTGCAATCAACACCCACAAGGAAAAAAAATAAAAATCCAGCAGCATAAGAAAGACAGAAAAGCTTTAAAAATGTGAAATTTCTCTATGTTTTGAAAATTAAAAGTAGCGAATCAAGTCTTAGTAGTACTAGTAAACGTAGCTTGAAGAAAAGATTCCAAGGATAGGGGGTTTGTTGTGAAGGGTTACTTGGCAGTACTGATAGTTAGAAAGCAACATCATTAACACGTCAACTTATTTCAAAGAATTCAGATCAATGTTCTCTTCTTTTGAATACCGAGCTAATGTATTCTTGATTGCATTTAACTCTTTCCATCTCTGGAGTGATGGGTACAGGAGTTCCTTTCCCTATGTCCTCTTTGTATAAAACCTACAGGATACAAAAAGGTAATCTAGTAATTACAGATCAGCAATGGTCATCAAAAGATGTTAATAGCTTTTGGTGTTAATACTTGGATCATACCAACTTCCAGGGAAGCTAGCTGGCTGTTGATTTCAGGGTCATATGGAATAGAGACCTTTAATCAACACCCACAGAAAAAAATCATGTAGTTGGGTAAGAAAGATAAAAAAGCTAAAAGGTGGTGGTAGAGGGAGAGGATTCTATATGTGCTGAAAATTAAAAATTGTGAGTCAACTCTTAGTAGTAGTACACCGAGGTTGAAGAAAGAATTCCAAGGAAAGTTGGCTTTTTCTGGGAGGTGAATTGGCACTACTGATAGTTAGAAAGGGAAGTCATTAACACAGCAACTCATTTCAAAGAATTCAGGCCATTTTTTTTCTTCTTCTTTCAAATACCGAGCTAATGTGTTCTTGATTGCGTTTGACTCTCTCCATTTCTGGAGTGACAGAAGTTGGAGTTGCTTTCCCTACATTCTCTTTGTACAACACCTGTGGGATAGAAGAGCAGCCAAGTAAGCCAGCAATAAGTAAACTGAGGGGATTTTGTTACAGTACTAATGCTTTACAAAGAAGTTGATTGAGAAGAGGACAGCTTGCTGGACGGTTGCATCATAAAAAAGTTTCCTTTCAAAAAACAGGCACTAGTGTTCTTTATACATGGTGTCATCCTTTGAATGTGCATTATTGGTTCTTTGTATAATATTCAGGGAAGACTGAACGTGCCAGAGATAGGGAAATGAAGTGTTATATTTTGGCAATAATTTGGAGGCAAGGTACTGAATAGCAGGAAAGATTTAAAAGTCTCCAATATGATGCTATCCTAAATTGAACATCAAAGATCAAAGTTTCATAGAAAGCACAATAAAGACATTAGCAAGATGGAACTGTGATTGGGAAAAAGCTCTTTAAAAAGGGAGGGAATGAAAGTGCCAGTTTCCTAGAAGTACCGAGCTAATGATTTCTTGGTTGTGTTTGACTCTCTCCATCTCAGGAGTGACAGGAGTTGGGGTGCCTGTCCCTAGGTTTTCTTTGTATAGGACCTGCATGGTAAAAGAAGGTGGGACAAAACAAAAATAAGAATGAAAAACAGTAGTCACTTCAAATATACCAAGGACATTGGTCTTCAATCTCCTGGGGATGAGCCTGAGGCTTTCAAAGTCATGAGAACTTTTCCAAGTCCTATTTCAACAATATTCTTTTTGTGGTTTCTTGCTTTTTTTTTCTAGCCTGCTAGCAAACTGCAATGTTTAATGCACCGAGTTATATATGACCCAGCATTAGGAATGTTTAAGTCATCCAAGATTGTAAGAAGATGTAAGAATGTGGCTTATAGCAATAGCAATAGCACTTAGACCTATATACCGCTTCATAGTGCTTTACAGCCCTCTCTAAGCAGTTTACAGAGTCAGCCTATTGCCCCCAACAATCTGGGTCCTCATTTTACCGACCTCAGAAGGATGGGAGGCTGAGTCAACCTTGAGCGGTCAGAATTGAGCTCCTGGCAGTCAGCAGAATTAGCCTGCAACACGGCCTTCTAACCACTGTGCCACCACGGCTCTTATGTTTTGATTAAGCTCAATAGTATTTTAAGATACCATGTGGATGGATACCATGCAACCAACAAACCCATTAAAGATTACGAATGAATGAATGAATGAATATTAAAAATGAAAATAGTAAATATTTAAATGGATTTTATGCATGGGAATTCATAAAGTTGCTTCAAAATTTTATTATCTGTTTAGGTTTTTCTCTATGCAGTCATCTCTATTTTTAACTATACATGGCACATTACAGCATATTGTAGCCAGGAGTCACTCACTCATCTTCCTATATATTTGGAGGCTCTGCGCTGTGACGTGTTCAGGAAGGTCAAAACACACAAGATGGCAAGCATGATGGCATGATCCAAGCCCTGCCCCTTTTGTATGTGGCTCAATATTGCACCCATATATAAAGTGTAAAGAGGTGAGGCTTCTGTCACAATGCTGCAGCCATTATCTTGCCTGTTTTGATATCTCCACTACTACCATCACAACCACTGCCAATCCCTGGATGCACTGGCTCTAGGGCAGGAAAAATTGGTCCAAGAAGTTGGAAAGATATTAAGATCTTGGACATCAGTCTTGTAAAATGACCCGCTAATCCCCCAAATGCCCCAAAACTATCATAAGATGTTGATAATACTATTCAAGATCGCAGGACATTTTTGCATAAGGTATTTCCTTTTTTTCAGAATGAGCATATAAATTTAATAGATGAATAAATAAATATTTTTCAAAAATAATTTGGTTGGGGAAGAGCTTTGCTTTAGAGAGCCAGCGATGTTACGCTGCAGAACTGTGGCATAAAGATTAGTCATCCAGTATTTTGGAAACTTCAAACTATATGCCATGTTGGTTAAATCAAGGTTTCTTTTTGCTATGCTAAAATAATACAATAGTCTCCAACTATTGGAGCAAAGAAACCACTGCAAAAGATATCATTATGGTTTTGGCAGAAATAGGACATAACGGCAATCTTAAAGTGATGGAAGTGAGATTCAGCTATGAATCGTAAAAAAATAATTCCAATATTTTATTCTGAGCATATTGGTTGCATTTTTTTTTCATTTCTAAACTTCATCTGAGAAAGTACTATATACCCTCTTCCATCCAATTGGAGACTTAGACCATATTCTTTTTACAATTTAAGTTACATTAAATACATGATTTTAAAAAGAGTCACAGGGGTTAAAAAAGAAAAACAATCAGGATTGTATTCCAGATGGTTAACAGTATTCCAGGGACAGTAAAAAAGTTAACAATATTCCAGACTATTAGAATACAAAATAGTGAACAAAAATACATTTATTGGAAAATTAACTATATTGATAGATTTGATACTACTTTGATCCATGAATTATATAGCAGCTAATCAAGATTCAAATGTTAATTTGAATGGGGTCAAAAGGGAACTTTGTGTAATTAGAAGTACAAAACTGAAGCTTTAGTGAACATCCAAAGTTCCATTGTACGCCCCATTTATTATAAGATACAATAGACTTAAGCATAAACTTTGCTTTTTCAATGAAACCCAACCAAATTAATTTTATTTAATTTTGGCTGGATTGTAGCCTAAGGTTATAGAGCCAAAATTTTGTTGGGAGCTGTTTTGATTTCCTTCCCACACTAACTATCAATATGAGTTGGGAATACATGTACCATCATTAAAGAAACAAAAAAAAATCAAATAAAAAGTCAGTAATTGAATGATTCAATTACTAAAATAAAGAGTTTATTTTTTTAAAAAAAAGTATTTTATGTTACTCGGAATGAATAACATAAAGGTTTATAATAATTAATTCCATTTTAATAAAGTTAAAGGGCATTTTTAACTACAAAAATACCGAGCTAAAGATTTCTTGATTGCGTCTGACTCTCTCCAACTCTGGGGTAATACTTGTTGGAGTTCCAGACCCTAAATTCTCTTTGTAAAATACCTGTGTAAGAAGAAATATATACGTAAAAAAAAATCAGCACAGAAATGCAATTTTCTTTATGAAATTAGTTTTCTTCACGAAGTCTACAGAAATTTGAAAATCCTCTTAAAAATAAACCCTATTCTGACCTTAAAAGTATTCCTAAAAGTATTGCTAAATTGGATATGAAAGCCCACCCAAGATTATAACTTAACTGCATTCAAATAATTTGATGTGATAATAATGTTAGGTATACTTTAAATCCTCTGTAGCATCTTTACATTCTCCCTTATGAAGGACACAAGGAGAAGAGAACACCCAGTCAGAACTTAGTTTGGGTTGATCAGGCTACGGTCTTCCCTGATGTAGTCTTGGAATATGAGGACCTCTTCTTGAAAGTGAGTTGTGATCTGTGGTCGTAATGACCACTCGTAGGCCAAACACACAGAAACTTTTATTTGCCTTGACAGCTTAAATATATTTAGAGCTGAATTCTCTTGCTTAGCAAATTCAAGGATTCACATGTTTTTATGAATAGGGGACAAAAAGATAGCCTTCTTAGAATCTGTAGCTTGGTCTTGATTCTTCAGCCTCATGTTCTCCAGTCAAATAAATAAAATCTGGTAGAGATGGAGAAGTTGTTACTACAAAAGTGACAGCTATGCTATTCCTTCTCCGGAGTGAGACAGGATTGAAGGAGTGAGAAAGGATTTGGAAGTCACAGGATAGGTAAAGAAATGCTGGAATCCAATGGAACAATTATCCCAATTCAATTGCAACAAGGAGTCATTAGCATATAATGGCAATTAAATATATGGATGCATGTATGGACCTTCGTACTGGAGTTTGGAACTTGGAAGACTAAAACTGTGTTCTTGTTTTTTTCTGTGCAGAATCACAAACTGCTTTAAAACATCATTAAAAAAATTAAAGATCAGCAATAAAAGAACATTTAGAAAAATATTTTACAATAGTTGTTGGGGGTTCATTAAGTTAGGATCAAAGAAGTGTTATTCTAATTTTGCACTGCACCAACACGTGGATGCCAAAAGCTATTAGAAAGATTTCCTGTTATAAGGGCAAAGGAAAGGCATCTATTTGTTTAAGGCAAATCATATTGTTTTATTTGAGGAGAGGAAGGAAGATGAGAAAGGAGTATGATGAGAAGAAGAAGTTAAAAATCACTGCAAAACAAAAATAATTAGTGCTTTAATTGTCCACGTCTCATGATGGGATTAAAATGAAGAGGAAAAGATAGTCAAAATCTCATGGAGAGTTTAAAATTAAAAGGAAAGTTAGCATAAGATCATGACAGTTAAAATTATGTATTGATAAATATTTTGAGCTATACCGAGCTAATGTTCTCCTGGTTACGTTTGACCCGCTCCATCTCTGGCGTAACAGGTGTTGCCATTCCTGTGCCCACCTGTTCTTTGTAAGACACCTGTGAGAGTACAATAAAGTATCCACAAAAGACCCCAACAAAGAAGTGCAATAACCAGAACTGAATTTCAATTGGTAGTAGGTAGTAATAGTGCAAGGTTAAATCCTACAGTTGGACTAGTGTCACAAAGAGAAAAGGCTAAAAGAAATAGAATATTATTCATTAAATATGTGAGTGACATTGCAGGTTAAGGAAAGCTGTGTTAATTTTATCATGGGAGCAAAAGGTTCATTATATTTTGTTTTATTTTTTTTTAAACTTATTTTATGATGCATAACGTTTTTAATTAGTTAAAAGTTAGGAAGGGAGATGAGTCACAAAAATCGGAGGCAGTAGAAAATAGAGTATGATAGTTAGAGATTATTCTTTTTTTTTTAAAGAAAAATTATGAGTTGTTAAAGTAGATTTGATTTTATTGAGAAATACCGAGCTAATGTGTTCTTGATTGCGTCTGACTCTCTCTATTTCTGGAGTACTTGATATTGCAGTTCCTTGCCCTGCATTCTCTTTGTACATTACCTGCAGAATACAAACACCCACCAAGATGAGAAATTGGATAACTGCTAGGAAAACATCAGGGCACAATGCAATGCAAATGTTGATTAATGCACTTATTTTGTATATAAATGTACACATACATCCAGTTGCACTGTGAGAAACGTTTCCATTCTGTTTTGAAAAGATTGCATGTTGTGTCAGAAAGGAATCATGGAAATGGAAATACTGTGGTTTTTAGTACAGGTAGTCCAGTTTGATGTAGTGATTAAGATACCCATCTAGAAACTGTAGGACTGTGGTGGTGAACCTATGGCATGTGTGCCAGAGGCGGCACTCAGAGCCCTGTCTGTGGGCATGTGCGCTGTCCCAGCCCTGCCTCCCCGTGGTCCCCGCCTCACCAGCAGCCCCCCCAGAGGAGAGTCACTCCCGGGCGCGGCCTGCACAGAGCAGCACAGCCAAGGACATGACAGCCGGGCAGTGGGGACAAGAGTCTGCTCTCATGCCCCAGATGATGCTGTGGGGTGCGGGCAGAGGGCATGGCCGCCATGATGCTGCAGGCTTACCTGGGCAATCTGTGGCAGGCTATGGAGGTGGGTGGGGCCCTGCGGGTGGGTGGGGGCAGAGCGAGTAGGGTGGGGGCAGAGCAGGGGAGGGGCGGGATGGTTTTGGGGCACTTGGTCTCCTACGCCATCACTGCCATAGGAAATGACTAGGTGGAGCCCAAAGGCGGGATCACAAGTATCTTCAGTTTGGAATTACTATGCTCCCACATACAACGTACGTCCAACCCCCCCCCCCCCAGTGAATTCCCTTTACTCTTTTTAGCACAAATTTGCCTTCACCATTAGATCAGATTCTTAGACATAGGTAGCAAGTAATAAATTTGAAATTATTTGAACTAAACTCCTGTTGCTGGTAACTTGTGCCTGACAGAAACTGGGAGACTGTCGGTTCTAGTTGTGCTTTAGGGACAAAGCCAGCAGGATGACCTTGGACCAATCACTTTCTCTCGGTCCTAGGAAGGAAGTAAAGGCAAGCCACATCCAAAATCTTGTCAAGAAAACTGCAGAGATTAATCCAAGCAGTTTCCAAGAATTCTGTTTCAACTTTAACACCCTTTCACATAATATCAGACCAAGTTTTTAAAACAGAAGTATGTTCAAGCTTTAAATATAATATCAAACCAGTCTCACACATTTTTACTTTCTTTTTAAAAATGAAAAGAACACCAAGTCCTTCCATTAAAATAAATAAAAGACTTGCATTTTACTCTTTTAAAAAGATGCCTATTTCCTCACATACAAAAATACCGTTAGAATCAAGTATCCACTCAGTTGAAAAAAATCTAAAAACAAATAACAACAATCTGAAGTTAAAAAATGAAATATGTAACACACATGTGTAGTGAAACCAGATTTTACGAAAAGCACATTTTAAAACTAATTCATTGGCTTAGTCAAAGGGATGGGAAGCAGGCAAAAAATCAATAATAATAATAATAATAATTCAAAACTGAAGTGTGCGCCACTTCAGTATCTTGACTTTTCTGACCCCTCCACCACTCCACCACAAAGCGGGCAGCATAGAAAACAAGAAAGGAGAAGACAATATCTATGGATGCTTTATGGTTTCTTCATAGATGTTATATTGTTACTAACTAAACAGCCCTAATTATGGTCAGCCATAATTGCCTTGCTTTCCTAGACAAATCTATGCCACAATACTGTACTGATTATTAAACCGCATCAATATTTCTAATAACTACCCAATGGGTGTCCGATTAAGATTTCATTGATTATGTGCCATCAAGTTGGTTCCAGCTCCTAGCAACCATATAAATAGATTTTTCTCCATGTAATTTGATTTGATTACCTTACAGAATAAGCTAGAAAATTAAGTTCAGTAAAGGTCGGTGAATTATTTAGAATTTTAAACTCACAATCTTTAATCCCTAAATTCAGATTTCAAGAGGTATGTTGCAAAAGTTAATTTGAAAACTGGAATTGGATCACTAATAAATAAATTGGATCACAAATAAATAAGCAAGCTAAATAAACAATGCATAATTCACAAGCTAAGAAAACAGATATGAATAAATATTAATGCAATTGTATTAGGATTGTGCCCAGATATCTCTAAGTATATCCAGAAACCTGTCAAACATCCCTGCTTATAGTCAGCCAAAGCTACTTGTCTTTGGCAGATGGCAAATTTTAGACTAGGTTTATAGAAAGCACTTCATCAATTAGTTTGTCATTATATTTTTAATTCCATTCAATCCCATCCCCATTTGAATTTTTCTGTCTGAGAAACCAACATTTGGGATGTCCTCATCTGCTCAGCATTAATACATTTATATTCTCCTTTCAAGGTTTATATACAAAAGTTATCAAAGCAAATGGATCTTTTAGAATGTAGATGGAATACAGTGAGAGTGCCCTTTTAAAAATACAGATGATGTTAGTACATGTTAACAAGAGGAAGAAACAGCAACTTAGTACAGTGAACAGCAGCATGTCATAATTAGCCAGCTCATTATTAAAAGAGAAAAAAAATTAGCCAATACCGAGCTGATGTGTTTCTGCGCCTCCTTGACCCTTTTCACTTCAGGAAGGTCAGAAATGGGAGTTCCTTTTCCAATGTGTTCCTTATACTTAATCTACAAAGTTGCAGTCAGAAGAGAGACCAAACAATGATGTCACGTATAAGAGACATACATATCACTTAAGAGAGCACAGAAAACAATTGTCACTGAAGGTTTATATAGTTGTGGAACCATAAAATTTAACATGCACTCTAGTGAAAAATCCCTTATCAAGGAAGCTTCAGAAGAAAGTTAGGAAATAACACTCAAGTAAGTAAAGACTTACTTATAATTAAATAGAAGTCTTTTTCATGGATTGACAAAATTGTCACACTAGAAGTTATTGGATTTATCCTTAACTATGAAATGATTTTATTTTTAAAAACAACTTTTTTCTTGCCTGAATGAGAGCTAGATAGCTTCAAATAAGCTAGTTACAAAATTATATGAACTGCATAGCACCAGGTTGGGAAAGAAAGAGTGCCATAGCATAAACCATCTACCTCATAGGTAGGAAACTCATGGTCATCCAAATGCTGCTGGGTTAAGGCTCCTAGCAATCTTTATCTTGGGTGATGCTGGCTATGGCTACTGATAGCTGCAGTACAACTTCTGGAAGGCCACAGGTTCTTCATTTTGATCTTGCTCTGTTTCCCACAAAAGTTCTCTTTCACTACAACTGCCCTGACTTTAAGGCTACATTTGTTGACAGTGGAAGCTATGATATGCTCATCCCGGCATGCTGGGGTATATGCAGTTGTTGTGAATTCTGGTATTCCTTTGGTTGTTTTTCAGTTCTGATGTATCTAAATGCATCAATTTGAATCCTAGTACTTTCTTCAGTGAAGGCTAGGCTATAGGCCACTATTCCATGTAATTGAATGCCCAAAAGAGTCTTTGCAATGTGAGGAATCCCTTCTGAAAGAGGCTGTTGTCTTCATGTTTAATAGAGTCCCTTCAAATATGAAATGTTATATGTGCAATGGAGCCACTGGAGTAAAGAATTATGGATCAGATCCAGTTTTTCCAAATTTAACCTCACTGTTTTTACTGAATATACTCTAAGTACAGCAAAACGATTGTTCCAACACATATTTATCCCTTTTAGTTCCAATCAAATTATATTTTAATTCCATTTAGTAGTATGGTAAATATTGGTATAAATGGCATTCATTTTTATAAGTTAAAACAGTGCAATTAAGAATGATTTTTTAAAAAATCATTTTGATTTTTTACCGTGCTAATGGCATCTGTGGTTTTTCTAATTCTCTGTATCTCTGGTGTTTTTTCAATTGCTGTTCCTGTTCCAACGGTATCTTTGTATAAAACCTAAAGCAAAATCACAAGATCAATCACAGGAAGACATATTGTCATTTCTACAGAAGCACTACAAAACATCAGAACATCTACTTCAAGAAAAATAGAAATAACATCAGAACATCTATCTCAATAAAAGAAAAATCATACCTATTCTCATCTCTGTGTCATGTGTATTATCTTTGGGGGTGCTTGTTTGGAGAAACCACTTGACGGTTATAATTTCAAGCAATATAACAGGAAAGAAATCAAACCAACAAAAACAAGCAATGTCTGTCATAAGGATATACAGGTAGTCCTTGACTTACAACAGTTTGCAATAGTGGCAAATATCTGTAGCTCGGGTATAGGATGAGGGTGAAGGTTCGTTCTCTGAGCTTGTGGGTTGGTTTCCGAATGTTTCGTTACCAGGCTGGGTAACATCTCCAGTGGAGTTTAAGGGATGTCGTATCGGTGTTCTTCTGTTTATAAGGGCTTCAGGTGTGGGTGTGTCAAATGAGGGTCTTGTGATGGGTCAGGTATGAGTCATCAGTGAGAGGCTTCTGATAGGTCTTGTGATGGGGAGGTTACATCAGGCCAGGGTCATTGGGAGGTGAGGTGCTGGTGGGAGGGTTGATTTGGATTCTGAGGAGTTCATAGGCTGGTTGTAGGTCAATGTGTCTGTTGATGGAATTGCTTGTGGAGTGCCAGGCTTCGATGAACTCACGAGTGTGGTGGGTGGTAGCATGGCCCATGATTTTAGTGTTCTCCTATCAAGAACAAACCTTTACCCTCTTACAACAGTTTGTTTAGTGATTGTTCAAAGTTACAACGGCATTGAAAAAAGTGACCTATGACTGTTTTTCACACTTATGAAAGAAAGAAGAAAGAAGGAGGGAGGGAGGGAGGAAGGGCTTTCATTTGCACTTAACTGGTTTCTCAGTTATCTACTGTCAAGAGGCTTTATTGATATCAATGAAAAAATTGAAATGTGTTAGCAAACTAAAACATAAAAAGGAGACCAATAATTTGCTAAATAATATAAACTTACCACGCTGAAATTTTTCTGGTTTTCTTTAACTCGTAAAATTTCTGGTGTTTCATTTACAACTGTGACCTTTCCTTTGCTGTCCTGCAGATCATGTTGATACTGAAGCTGTTAAGAGAGTACATGTTTTTCAGTGCATTAATCTCAAAGATTTCTGCTTGGCCTGTCACCAGTACAGACCACTCATTGCTCCCTGAGTGCAAGAACAGGTGACATCTTCCTCCTCCCACGCTCAGCCCTCTGCAAATGCCCCCTGCGCCTCCATTTCCCAGCTTTGATTCAAAGCTGCTGTTACCCAACCTGAGCCTTTTGAAGTCCTTGAGAGCAGATGGTTTCAGAGCTTCATCCACTTCAGGAGCAGCCCAACTCTGATTGGCTGCAGTGCCTGGCCCAACCCTACCCTGCAGTGGCTCATCTCTGTCCTGGGCAGCCATTTTGCTTGGGCTGCTATGTTTTCTATTGGTCAGAAGTTGCTCTTTTTTAAAATCATCCTTTGGTTAATCCAATGATGGCCCCTTATGTCAACGGACAATCCTCACCCTTAGAAGCTCATGCTCTGTTCAACCCTCAAATTTCCCTGTGGACGCCCTTTCATTTTCTGCTCAGGCTGGATGAAGTATCCTTCCCTTGCTTTCCATCCCCTGCTCACAGTACTACAAAGCTTCCCTTTCCTTCTCCCCTCCTCCCTGCCTTTTTTTTTTAAAGTACTGTATATGCCGGCGTACAAGGCGACCTGGCGTATAAGACAACCCCCATCTTTGTCGCCGAGTCGCATTCCTAGAACGTCGTCTTATATGCTGGAAACTACCAGTATTTCCGGCATATAAAATGACTTGGCATATAAGACGACCCCCGTCTTTGGCACCGATTTTAACGCTTGCAGAAGTCACTTTATACACCGGCATATACGGTAAGTTTTAGATGCAAGGTGGAAACATTACTATGCTATTTCTATAAAGCTGACCTATCAGTTCTTCCATGCGACAAAGTTCCCCAGAAGCTTGAGAGAAAGTAGGAGTGCAAGAGCAATTTCCCCCTATTGTTTAGATTGTAGCATCAGAATTACAGTGGTACCATAAGAGGAAAAAAGAAACAGGAACGGGTTTGCTTTAGCATCAAAGAAAAGAGTGGGAAGGAGGCAATGTGAAGGTGGCTATGTATTGTGTGCAGACCTCTGGGAAAGGGTTTCCTGCCTTAGCAGGGGGTTGGACTAGATGGCCTCCAAGGTCCCTTCCAACTTTATTATTATTATTATTATTATTATTATTATTATTATTATTAAAGCCAAAGGAAGGCATGGGGACTAGTGAGAAGGGAGGAACCCCCCCCCCAAGGAAAGAGCAGGCACTAGTAGAGTGGCCCCGAGGACCAGCCTGCCTTCCTTGTGCAGATAAGAAAGTCAAGAAGCAAAGGAAAGAGCAATCTGGCCATAATCTGGACTGAGTACAATCCCAACCCCATTGCCAAGCCACTGTAATCCGAATGGGAATTTCTGGCGCTTGTTTAAGAAATAGCCTGGGAGACAAAAGCTTCGGCTGCCGGGCAGCATTACCCCAGGAAGAACTCAAGTCTTCTTGTTTCCTGATTGCCTTTTTTAATGTTAGTAATAGCAATAGCATTTCGACTTATATACCGGTTCATAGTGCTTTGCAGCACTCTCGAAGCGGTTTACAGAGTCGCTCTGAAATCTAATGATAAAGGTTTATCATTTGAGGCCAGCTGATCCATACACCTGTGGGACCCGAAGAGTTCTTCAGTGTCCGAAAGCAGTGGACCTCCAGCTTTTCTCAACACAATTCCTCTCTCGTTTTTTGTGGGGAGGTGGCATTGTTACATCCATTCTTTCAATCCGGTTGCTGAATTGAACGAATGCTTAAGTGGATACTTTATGATCGCCTTTACAATAATAAAGTTATAAAACTGGCAGAGAGGGTGTATGGAAAATATATTTACAGCAGCACGAACAAAGATCACTCAAAATATAATACCAGAGGTAGTCAAATCCTGGCGTGTTATTAATATTTAGTATTCTGCATTCGTGAGTTCCTTGAGAAATTTTAATAAGTTATTTGTAGCTAAGCCCCCCAATCTCAGTTGGACTTGCTTTCAAAATAATCAAGAAAGGCTCAAAGTGCAGTTATTTACATTGAGGGCAAACTTTAAGTTTCTTGCTGAGCAAAGCAGTAATCAAGAACCTACCTTAGAGAGAGTGGTAATTATCTCTGGAAAATACCTGGAATCTGTCTCCTTTTTCTTTACCTACATGATCAGCATCCCTGACAACTGTAAGCATGGTCAGAACAGCATCAGGCATGCTTCTAGCAAGGTACAAGTGACTTATTTCAAACTCAAAGCAAGTGAAGTTCAAAACAATTTCAGTTCCAAAATGTTTTCTACCCACTAGGCTTCGTATCTAATATAGCAAAGGAAATAATATTGCACTTCAGGGGAGCACTGCTTGCTTTCTTGGAATTCATGAGTCTATGTATACATACCATGCTAAAATTCTTCTGATTTTCTCGGACCCGCTGTATTTCTGGAGTCTCTAGCACAGACACATAGTACGGCATGGTTTTCTCCGCATCCTCCTTATACTTTTTCTGTTATTCAGGTTAAAAAAATGTACTATTATAGTAACAAAACAAAGATTATCATTTTTAAAATACCCATGCAGAGAGATATACACAAACAGTTTTTATTGTGTAGGGACTATAGCAAAGTCACCACAGGAATCAGACAAAGTCATTTATTCTTCAAATAAATCTACCCAGATTTCTCACTTGAGGCTCAAATGACCAGACTTACATTATCATACTTTGGTCATACTATGGGAAGGCTAGTTCTCTGTTGCTGGGAAAGATGGAAGAAAAAAGAAGATGGGGGACAACCACAGCAAAGTGAATGAATCATTTACACTGGTGAAAAAAATGCCCCACTGGAACCCCTGAAGATCCAGGTTAGGGACAGATCATCATGGAGGAAATCTATCCATGTGGTCAGTAAGAGTCACCACCAATCCGATGACTCATCATTAATCAATTAGTCATCTTCATTGTCTAAGGAAGAAATCCTTTAAAAATAAGAGCAGATGCATGACAAACATTGCATATAGGTATAATAAGTACATTTGTTAAAATGTGTGATGGCTTGGGTTGGCACTTTCCAGATTTCAATTGTCTAACGTGATCTAGATCAAGCAAGCTAAATAATTTCTTTCAGAAAATATTTGGAAATCTGGAAAACAATAATCCATTAGTTTCATGCAGGGGAAGCCAAAACAATGGTATTATCTGTTAACTTTAAAATCAGTGAGGTTCAGGTCATAGCTTTTATGACTTAAATATTCATTTGAGAAGTATAGACTGAGCCAAAAGAAGTGGATTTTAAAAAAATGGGGGAAGTTAAGAGCCACAAATACTAAGATGTAATGTCATCAAACGGGGAATGGAGGAGAAATAATGGATTTTGGAAGATTGGGTTTTTCTTATTTTCTAAAGGAATTGTTAAATGCTAAAGAGGAATGAAACTCATTTACCAAATGCTTCTCTGCTAAAAAAAAAAGTGAGAAATTATTCTTATGATTCTTGGCAGTTGACTAAGAAATTCAGCTGTATTCCAAAGACATAAAAAGAGATTTTAGGGGCATGTGATCTGTGGTTACCATCCCCTGCTTTGAAATCTATATGAATTTCCACAGTTAATTAAAAACTTTAATTATTAGTAGTTTTGTTCCAAATCAAACCATTACAAAAATGAAAGCAAGGTCACCAGTGAAAGCGAAAATGTCCAATAGTGTAGAATACCCCACACTTATTGGAAGGATTTACAACGCATTCTCAAGGTCACCCAGACAGGAACCTATTTCAAAAGGTCTCCAGTATCTCATTATTTATTATGCTGGTTAAGGCTGCTGGGAGTTGGTGTTCCCCTCCATCTGCAGGGTCATCATTACCTTACTGGAAAAGTTCTTCACATGATGTGCATGGATGATTTCTGGAGTGTCAACAACGGTGGTATAATTGGCTTTTTCCATTTCTGCAGAGTGCTTATATTTAAGCTGTTGAGAGAAACATTACAGGGGAAACATCCAGAATAAGTAATTTAGAGATGTAGCTTTGCTTTTCTATTTTATACAGCAGGAAATCAAATGATGTTCATTAATCACCAACCTCACTAGCAATATCTGTGGCATTCTTTGCCCTCATATAATCAGGGGTCTCCAGTGCATGGTCTGTTAATCCCCTTCCTTTGATTTCCATCTCCAGGGCTCTCTTATATTCTTTCTGTGGGTAAAAACAGATATAAAAATATAACGTCTGAACAGACAGCTTGTTCCCAAATGAAATTCACCCCCAATGCTCCAAGGTTACCTTGATATGTAACCTACTCATGTAAATGTATGCTGGAAGGAAGATCAATCTATTTTATAGAAGAAACATTAAAGCTTGCAATGTGATATAAGATCTGACTTCATTTCAAGAATTTTTTGATAAAAATGTTGTCTTCATGAACAACAGAATCTTCCTCATTTCAGTCAGATTACAGAATCAGGTATTGATCAGATCAGATTACAAATCAGATAACATCCAATTAAATTAAATAAAAAGTGATACCTACATGTGGGATTAGTTTTGGCACACATTCTTTTTAGCTTTTACAACATCTTCAGTTTAATAAAATGTACTAAATATTTATGAGGTGATACAATGTTTTAACCTGGCTTCAGAAGACATGTCAACCAAAATAACTAAGAATGGGTACAGGGGAAAAAATTAAGAATTCAAAATTAAGAACCTCAAATACCCTGTTTCGTTGGGAAGACACTAAACCCTGAATACTTTATATAAGACATCAGCATGGATTGGTTAGAAATAATTGTATGAAATACTAGAGAATTTTAGTTCTTGAATTCAGTAAGAAATATCTGATATATCTTGAATCCACTAAATTAATCAAGCCATAAAGCTGGAAAAAGTAAATGTAATAACTAGCAGATCTTTTCCTTTCTGCTAAAAATGTTCCATTGTTATAATTTCCAAGAAAATAATTCAATGTATGCAGGATCAGTTCAAACCAATAGTTAAATGTACTATTAACCTCAAAAACCCTTGTTTTTTTTTTTAAAAATCAAGTTAAAATATTTTTAAATATATAATGTGATTGCAGTGAAAATCATATAGTTCCTATTTTAATACAACTATGTAATTCATAGATTCATGCGTGAATATCCTGTGATGTATCATTTAGAGAAAATGCTATGCCAAAAAATGCATAAATTTGCAGAAATTGTGCACAGATTAAAAAATGTGCTTTAAAATTTGTGGAAAAGAAGTTATTTTCATCATCCTGCTAGAATTTGTATCTGGATCATTGCTTATTTGCTATACAAACTGTTATTATCAGGGCCAAAAGAAGTTGGTTTTGTGTCTTTTGCCCTAGGAAGTTCTGACACATGTTTTGCCTCCTTAATGTGTCACTGTTGGCAGCTGCAAAGAATAAGGTGATGGCTGTTCTCCTTGAGGTTAGAGAAAGATGTTAACCATTGTTAAAAACACTGTTGGTACTAAACATTTCAAAATGGATTTGGTTGAAAACAGAGTATTTTAGTTGCCAGATCATGGGAGTTCAGTGGGATCAGGAAGACTATCCATAATCAATTAATTAAGCTTCTTCAGGATAAAGAATTCCTTTGGATGGGCTACAGAAAAAGATCATAGGTTCACTGTGTATGGTTAACTGGAAAAAAAAGTATCTAGCTTTTCCTGATTTTACTAAGGAAATCTGACAATGCAAAAAAAAAATATGTGAGAATTACTGCTCATGAAATGAATCTTCATCTTATTAGGTTTGGCTATCTTTGTTTTCAACTTATCAAATGTTACTCAGAAATAATTTATAATGGAAGTTCAAAGAACAACTCCTGAAGTGACTTTTTTTTTTCCTTCAAGAAATTATCACCACAGTTCCGGAAAGTGACTATTGATTATGATGATTTTCCATTTGATTGGTATAAAAATTAGATTGGATTTTTGTCTGCTATTTTATGAGGAGTCCGTAATGAAACTTTTTCATGCAAATCCCTGCCTTTAAATTTTCATGAAACAAATATCAAGTTTATTCCCAAACCAGGCAATCTATTCCCCTTCTAGATCTATTTCCTTAATAAATGTGGATGTTAGGTTTTATATGCACTAGTTTATGAGCAAATTACAGAATACAGCTCAGGCTGTGTTTAAACAGGGCCATCAAACTTCTGACAATATTATTTTTTCAATAGATAGTCTTCCTTTAACTCAAAAGACTCAGCATCCACCACCTATAATCATTTTGGGGAGTAAGAAAGCCTTTATGTCAGTGGTGTTAAACTGCCGGCCCGCAGGCCAGTTACACCATGTGGAGGCCGCGCCCACCCCAGCTCCAGCAATGTGAAAAAAGTCACAATACATCATGACACGTCATGTGACACAGTGAGATTGACACCCGTGGTCTCTTGGTAGTTTTTGGTGTGGGTTTTGACTTATTTTGGGTCTCCACAAAGGTTTTATAGTTTTGATGTAATTTATTAATGTTTAAATCACAGCTGATTATTGATAGAATGCTTTCCTTTCCCTTGGTTAAATCTCTGTCAAAATGCTTTCGTTTCTTTTTAATTTTGCTTTAAATAATCATTATCAATAAATGACGAGAAGAGGAGCAAAATAAAGTATTTCCTTACATATACTGATTATTTCCTAATCTTTTCCTAATCTTAATTTATTTGTTTGTGATCAGTGGTGGGATTCAGCCAGTTCGCACCAGTTCGGCAGAACTGGTAGCTAATTTTTGTTGCCCAGGCCCAGAATGGATTTCCAAAAGCGGCATCCACACAGAGAACCGGTTGTTCACATATTTGAATCCCACCCCTGTTTGTGATACTGCCTGATTACTGATTACTTTATATACTGAGTATATATGTGTGCATGTGTGTTTGTGTGTGTCAACATTTGAATTTGTCTTTTTTGACAAGAGAAATAAAGAAGACTTTCAAAAAATATGATGTTTCTTAAAGTTGTTTTTTTGTTACATATTTCCTTCCTTCCTTTCCCTATCAGTTGTGTTGATCCTTATTACATGCACTTTCACATTTTTATTAGTTTATGTAATTTAAAATAATCCAAATACTTAGAAACTGAAATTGAAAAATGTCCTTCCTCTATCTGAATACATGCTGGATGTAAAATTATGAAATGGACAGACTAGTAGTAAGCATTTTAATACACCATAGAAATCTATCTTTCAGATTCCTAAACCTACCTCATTCAAGATATAGGTTGCATTCTTTGCTCTAAGTAAATCTGGTGTCTCCTCTAGAATTGTTAGACCTTTGCCTTTTACACCTTCTTCTAAATCTCGCCTGTATTCTTTCTAGAGGGTAGAACACAAGAAAATAAATCAAAAAAGAAAAGTAAGTAGGAACAAAGGGAAATCAATGAAAGGAAAAAACATAAAGGAGAATAAAAAAGAATTAGTAAATAATTCCTAGACTAAATAGTTGTTTTTGCCTTCCAAACACACATACCTTGTTACACTAACTCTACCTAAAAATTCAAACAAAGGTATATATAATGAGACAATTCCCATTAGTTCCACCAATATAACGATTTTTTAAAAGATAAAGAAAAAAACTAGGCATCACTATCAGTTAAATCATGCCTATAATTAAAGTTAAAATTAAGAAAAAAAATAAAAAAATAATTTTTAAACTTAAAATTAAAGTTTAAGCATGGCAAAAACAACAGTGAAGGATCTAATTTGCGGAAGATAATTTAGTTTTCCAATGCAGAAGTCAGAAGAGTAGCTGGTACCTCGCTTGCTATTTTGGTGGCATATCTGACATGCAGTAAAGATGGTGTAACCTCCAAACCAGTAAGATTCCGGCCTTTAATGGACTCTTCATAATCTTTCTTATATTCTTTCTAATAGAGGTTGGAAGAAGGAGCGAGAAGAAAGAAGGGAAGAAAGGGAAAAAATAGAATTAACGTTGGCATTGTAAAAATAATTTCCAGGCATTTTAAATTGATGTGATGATTAGTTAGTTATGGATCCAATTTTACTTTTGTGCCATTTGGGAGAAGTTTAATGCTTTTATGTCTATGGAGAATCTTAGTCATCCAGGCAACTGGACTTCCTTGTTTTTCTTTGAAGATGTTTCGCTTCTCATCCAAGAAGCTTCTTCAGCATCTTCAAAGAAAAACAAGAAAGTTTAGCTGCCTCTTGAAAAAAGCACCTTTGGGACTTTAATCCTTTTAATTGTCCTAATCTATGATTAATTAATATTTTATGTACTTGCAAGCAATAATACGTAAATTTGGCCTTTAGACAAGCAAAATTTCTACATTGTAGTATCTGAGGAGCAGGTTGAACAAAAAGGACAGAATGATCATTGGTCAGGTAGTGGTCTTAGAAACCCAGTGCCAACAAAATGTGTGGGATGACTAGTCCAGTGGTTCTCACTCAACATGCTTGGGATGATGGGAGTTCTGATCTAACACACTAGAAAATATTAGAAAACACCAGGTAAAGAAATCTGTTCCAGTTTGCATGCTTGATCCAAGGAAGTTTTTAAAAAAAGCGAGTAACTCCATAAATTCTGCATTTGGGTATTATATTTCCTTTGAATGAAAACAATTGACAGAATCAAACATTACACCCAAGTTTCACTTTGCATAAATTTGATATTGGAATGAACATATTCCAATAATTCAACAAAATTCTGAAATGCCCATGAAAGGATATGAAAGAGATAAAATTGAAATGAGTCCTAGAAGCCCAGCAAAGGGTGATTCTGAAAACAAAACAATGGGAATAAAATTGTATAGATGTAGTCTGAGGATGGAGAATGAGCAGAAGGGCTGGGCTTTTATCTGGCACCTATAAAACAAGCCATGATGGTCATTCAATCAGTAAACAGAAAGATATGGTCATTCCTGTTACAAAAATACCTTGAGAATATATTTATGATTTAAACTGCTAGAAACAATACAACCACAATTCAGTGTCTCGCTGATTTTTCTAATATCTGATTAGTAACCTCCTACCTCACTCTGCATCTGTTGGGATTCCTTAGCAGTGATATATGTAGGTGTTTCAAAGTCCAGCATGGGTTTTCCTCTTTCCTTTTCATATTTTTCTTTGTATTTCACCTGTCAAGAGGTAGGCATGTGTTATCCCACAGTAGCAGATTAAAAAGACACATACAGAATGACGCATGTTCACTCAACCCTAATCCCAGATGAAAAAAAAATACAGTTGTTGTGGTCGTATAACATGCTATCTCATTGATTAATGTATTAACCACATCAGTCAAGGTGACTTTAACCAGTGAACAAAAGTAACAGCCATAACCAGTAGAATTGCACATAAATATTTAGGCATCACTGATTAAAAAGTATTTCAATGAAACTGTTTCAATGAATCTCTAGTGCCATGGTGGCGAACCTATGGCACGCGTGCCACTGATGGCACGCAGAGCCCTCTCTGTGGGCACACGTGCCGTTGCCCCAGTCCTAGGCCTTCAGCTAGGTTTTATAAAACCTTTTCACTTTAGGCCTCTGCCGCCATGTGCAAAAAAAAAAAGTTCAATCAATCAATCAATTTCAACTTCTCGCAGGAAAAAAAAAGATCCGCAAAGTTGAAATTGACTGATTGAACTTTTTAGTCCCATGCAGTCTGCCATTACCACCACAGCCATACCCACCCAATTGGCTACACCCAGCCAATTGGCCACACCCAGCCAATTGGCCATGCCCATCCAGCACCTGAGGATACATAAGTGAGTTTTGGGTTGTAGTTTGGGCACTTGGTCTCTAAAAGGTTCACCATCACTGCATTAGTGAATAAGGCTGCATTGTTTGAAGTCAAATAGATCTTTCTGCAAAGCTGAATGCATCTGTGTCTTTTATGTCCAGTTTACAGATTCAAAAAAATGGAAGTAACAACTATGCCAGACGAAACAGTTTGGACACAGTCAGCAATTTGTAATGCCTTCTTTGGCAAATAAACAGCTTTTCAAATGTTTCCTGTCACTAACTGAAAACATCTATTCTTGTTTTTCCCTACTTTTCTTTGCAAGAAGTATTATAGCTCAGAAATATTCTTAGGTCTCATCCCACGCACTACGTGTTTACAATCTTTCCACAGACTTTCAATACTATTCAACTTTGAGATCTGTGAAGAACACTCCAAAACCTTCATGTTTCTTCCTATAAGCACTTCATTGTTGATTATGTTTTGTTGCCTTGCTAATTATCTAACTTACTTTCAGCTTCAGTTTAATTACTGAATATGGGACATTAGTTTTTATGATATGTGGTTCAATCCAATCTTCCTTCACCTGCACAATGTTTCTTAAGCTACTAGTTCCACCCAATGCCAACGCATAATAGATATCTTTCACTAGTGACCTAGTGGATACATTTAAAATTTTGAGATCACTTCATGGTCATTCTTATAAAGTCGTCCTCATGAGAAACATGGACAGTTACAAAACATCTCATGTAGCTGTCCTCATGATGTTGTCTACCACACAGCTTACATTTAGCATTCTCTTAGGCAACTCGTCACATTTTCAAATCAAGTACTGTTCTACAGCCTTTCACTATTTGTATTTTCTAAGCATATATTTTGGGAGTGTAATCCAAAAGTATCTTGTAAATAAATCTGATGCTTAAGGCTATGGTTTGCTTTACATTATGGCATTAATAAAATCAGATGGATATGGAGCCTGCTGGAAGTGTTTGTTTGTATCTTTAGTTATTTATTTATTAAATTTAGGCACTGTCCATTTCACTGCAGTTATCTAAATGATTCTGGGTCTAGTGTTACTAGGCACTTTGGTATCCCATATTAGAAATCCAGAAATAACTGGCTGGATGCACATATATTATTTAGGTTCTGGTTTATTAAGAATACGGAAGGATTATATTGCCTAGAATAAAACTTAAGTGATATCTATGGCTTATTATGAGGAAAAAATTTCAGGATTTCAGTTTAAACTAAACTACGGGTAGGATTTCCAGGTTAGTTTCCAATTCCTACTGGCAAGAAGAGTCAAACATACCAAATATACACTTGCATACTTAATATGCCAAAAGTCTATAGAACTTTGACATGCTTTGGATGAGAATACAGATATGGTGACATATGGCAGTTGTATTATAAATATAAGTAGCGTGAAACACTTAACTGACTTACTATGCTCTGAAGTTCTGAAGCCTCCTTTAGATGGAGCTGTTCAAGGTTATCTGGAACCACGTGGTAGTGACCTTTATTCCTCTCGTACTGCTTCTTGTACTGGTACTAAAGGGAAGGCGTCAAAAACCACCTCAATAGTTAAAAAAATGTCCTAACCAGATCACCTTTTCTTGATCACCTTACCCAAACATCTCAGTAGTCAAATGAGACATCAGAAATGAAATATAAAAGAAATATATAAAAGAGAAGAAAGAAAAATATAAGGCAAAAAGGGACAAAATTACAAAACAGGAACAAAAAGAAGAAAGACCCAAAGAAATACGATGCGGTGAATAAGTGATGCTGTTAAAATGGAACGATGCCCCTTGGTTTTCACTTAAGAATATAAAATGGGATTAGCTGACATTACCCAAGGGTGATTTAGTTCAGCATTTTGTGTCACAAAATGGCTGACTAGATGCATCGACCAAATCCATAAGCAGAATTTATTATAGCAAGAAGATAAAAGTTCAGAAAAAAGCAGATTAAGTCTGAAGTGGTTTTAAAAGTTAAAGAATTATTGTTTCAAAATAGTAGTTGTGAGTTTAAAAAAAATAAAAAAGTTAAAATAATACTTGTTAGTAAAAATATGAGTTGTAAAAGTAAAAAAGCTATTAAATTTAGTTAGGTATTTAATGTTATTAGTGTTTTTGTTTTAAAAGTAATAGAAAAAGTTTTGAAGACTTGAGGTATTAATGTTGCTAGTCAACATGGGGGATTGTCATCAGGCAGGAGGTAAGAGATCACTACCAGGTGATTTCCTAGGAACAGTCAAGGAGGAAGAAAGATGTTGCAGAGGTTGTTAGCAGATATTATCTTAGAAAGGCATAAAAAGGTTAAACTCTCATTTTAGCTAACAGGCTTACAGTGCTGGCAAGGTGGCTGGTGTTCAAAACATGATTCATCGCAAGAGATTCAGACATATCAGTCACTGGCTTGTGAAGTTTCTTCAGATCTGCCTTATATTTAATCTGTTCATAAAACAAAGGAAAATGTCAGCAGCCTTGTCACAGGAATACAGGCTTATAAATGCAATACATTCCAATGCCATACTAGAATTTGTGCTGACATGCAATGAACTACTGCTGATCCTTAATTCACCAGTGGCCAAAAGCTTTTTCTCTAGGACAACCCATGTTTTTGGAAATGCTTCTGGAACCTTCCAAAATACCAATCTATATTTTCATTCACATGGAAGAATACTGCACACTTGGGATCGGTATGGAAGCTTTCAGAATGGCACAATTCAAAACTTTTTCATTCCCAAAAGAGATTAATCCCACTAACTGCAATCATGTTCATTCCCGCCTCCAGCTTCAACAAGGGGAAAATATTTTAAAAGCAAAAAAAAGAGAAAAAAAAGAATGGGAAGGAGCCCTACTTACTCCACCTTATAGGCTGACAAAAGTGATTATAATTGTCCCAAGAAGGCTAATAAAAAGTAAGGATGAGAAGAGGTTTAGTGTGAATAGAAGCTGGGTATGAAAGTAATTCAACAGTATCAATTTGCAACACAGACTTCAGGTTTAAAGGAAATGGAAAATATGAGGGAGAGAATAAGTTACAGAAAGTGCCTTTATTGGAGGCATGTCACACTCGCAATGTCACGAGACATCACGAAACATGTTGCGACTTTTTCCCCATTGCCAACAATGGGGTGGGCGCGGTTTCAGTATGATGCATCCGGCCCGCAGGCCGGCAGTTTGACATGCCTGCTTTACTGTAACTATGAGCAATATATGTGACTTATGACCACAATGGAGCCCAAAATTTCTGTTGTTAAGCAAGACAGTTGTTAAGAGAGTTTTGCCTCATTTTAAAAGCTTTCTTGTCACAGATGTTAAGTGAATAACTGCAGTTAAGATAGTAATATGGTTGTGAAGTGAATCTGGTTTTTCCATTGACTTTGCTTGTCAGAAAGCTGCAAAGGGGGTTGGACTAGATGACCTACAAGGTCCCTTCTAACTCTGTTATTCTGAAAGGTGATCCCATGACCCCGGGACATTGCAACCATCATAAATACATGCCAAGTATTTGAATTTTTGTTATGAGACCACGGGGATGGTGCAGCGGTCATGTGAAAAATGGTCATAAGTCATTTTTTTTTCCAGTGCTGTTGTAACTTCAGATGAATGGGTTGTTAAATCGAGGACTATTCCAATTGCTGGAATTTTAAAACTGTTTGTTTTCACCTGTGCTCGGTCTGTTTATCTCTTTTATTTTCTCTGCAAATACTACAAGGTTCTAGCAAACCTCTCTCAAAGGAACCTAGATCTGGCATCTGGATTCTCCTCACCCTTCAAAAAAAAGCTAATGAACCAGACATACCTCACTTGCAATGTGGTGAGCATCTTTCAAGGTCTTGTAGATCTTGCTCTCCTTCAAATCGTACTGAGGTTTCTTTCCCTTTTCTTTATCGAATCTTTCTTTGTACTTGATCTGAGGCCGGGAAAACAGATTATTATTATTTTTTTAACAAAGGGTCCTGACACCAAGAAAGGGAGAAGAGGAAACACCTATCCACAATCAGGTGGTCAAAAGAAATCTGATTGCAAGCAAGCAGATCAAAAGATGCAGAGGAACTACTTCAAAACAAAAGAGACCATTGGAAACATCATTAAGATTTTTTTCAGTACTAAGATGGATACATGCTACATTTCAGAGGGCGACATTTCTTCTTTCATTCAGCAGTTTATTTCAGCTCCACATATCAAAATATATTGAATTTATCCATTGCAAAAAAAAAAAAAAAAATATGGACAAGACGCTTGAGAAAGTGAGATGAAGCACAACTTCCTTTGTGTTCTTATAACAAAGGTGTTCCCCAACCTCCAGTTGAGTGGCACAATATTCCATATATCTCTTCCCTCCCAGGCAGCCTCGCTACTGGAATGAAGCAAGTAAGCAATCTGGCATAGGTTCAGGCCTCAGAAAAGGAAAGGTGGCATTATACAATTCTGTTACTCTACCGCTGCATCCCACAGAGGCATGATAAAGGACAATAAACCTGTAGAATCCATGGTGCTCCCTGTGCATCTTCAGTGCTAAAAGGGAGTGGGGTTTGCTCTCTGTTTATGCACATTAGCTTGCTTTATCAGTGTTTCCCTTCTAGTACTGAAGGTATTACCTAGTTGGGTAATGAAATGTCTGCAAGCAAACAGCCAAGCTCAGAGAGCACCAAATATTCTCTTCTATTGGTAAAGCTAGACTTCGAAAGCATTTATATCTTGGTTTTACTCTAAGAATGCCAAAGAGATTGCAGTACATTTGTGACGATAACATAAGATAATGACTTTCCCAAGATTTCTCCTATGGGAGCTCACTATTTACCACCTGCCCTACTACTAATCATAAAGAAAGTTTGCACCAAGTGTAGTTTATGCCCAAGTTATTGTTTTTAAGAAAAGCGATGGCCTTTTAAAGAGTTTTTAAAAGCCACTGAGAATTAAAATTCTGCTGGGTGCTTTTTCTTATGTAAAACAATCTATCTGAATCCACTGATGGGTAATCTGTTTCTCATCATGTAAATAATTCAGTCAGCTTGCTTTCATTCCAATGTAATTATATCCAACTCAGCTTTTTTTTTTAGTGGAACTTGCATATTGTATTTATATTACATAATATTGTATTTACATTACATAATAATACTGTAACTTTCTAGACGAACAAGGTTCTTAATTCCTAAAGGTTTTAGGACTATTATTAAACAACTTCATAAAAGAGAGATAATATATTAGCTGTTTAGTAGACAATAAGTCACAAGTTATAAAAATGTCATTATCCGGCCACAACTAAGGGCATTTTCAGTTTATTTAGACTGTAATTAGAGTTTAAACATAAAGTAAATGGACAATACGCTTAAAAGATGGACGTAACTCTGTCTGGGAGAGCTGATCGACATAACTGATGAAAGGAACTGATCATGCTAGAAAGCAATACACATCACTGTAAAGAAGTAAATTCAGGCTATCATCAGAAAAACCAAAGATGCCATAGTGCACTTTCAAGTCACATTCCATGGGGGTTTTTATTTCTAAAATGTGGATATTCATGCAATTCTGTATCCGCCATGCTGGATAGTTTCAGTTTTAAAACTAGATTGATAAAAAAACAAGTGCTGGTGACATTCAGTTACTCTCCTTCTGGTTAGATTTCCTTTAGAAACATATACAGAATCACATGGGAACTGATGCGTTTATAAGGAACAATGACATTTTCACAATGACAGATTTGACACGTGACCAACGAAAACTTTTAGCTATATCAATGTTATGCAAGTGGACTTTGGCAAAGGATTTCCAATTTTATCGGCAAATGGACAACACTGGATACAAACCATCAACAACAATAATAACAAAATAAGAAATGACATGCAGATTAACCATAACAGTGACGGAATTGGTGACATGATAGACAGTATACATGACAAATAATCCTTTAAAATATTGTTTGTTGAAATTCTGCACAGCCAGAACTATAGAAACATCCACACAAACAAATGAGGTATCATATGAACATCTATAAATCTGAAAAAAAGGTGTATTCATTTTTTTTTCAATAAAAGATTATTAGTCCCATTCACTTTCCAAGAGTCAAAAATTGCTGTTTCTTCAATACAGTAAGAGACTAAATAGAACAGATTAATAAAAGGAAGAGATTATTATTACAAAGACAAGACGGCTTATCAACTTTCAGTACAAAGAACTGATTTTTGTCACAAGCACAGAAGGATGCTTGCGACTACATGCAACATAAAGAAAGAAAAGTAAGAAAGTAAATTTCTCCCTTTTTTCCTTATGTCCAAAAGTCCTCTCCAATTTATGTCCTTCCTAAGGTTTAGGCCTACAGTTCCCATCGTCCTTCACCACTGGCCATGCTAACTGGGGCTGACGGTACTTGGAAGCCACCTCTATGGAAGGAGCCAATTTGAAGAAGGCAGATAGTAAGAGAGTCTTTCTTAAGAGGGAGTGGGAAAAATAAACAGGAAACACTTGACATCAAATAGCAGCAATTAGAAATTAGTCAAGAGCTAGTTCTGGCTTAATTCTCCAGAAGCCTTCTTTCAAAACTCAATGTTTTGTTTAGCCTGGTTCAAGACAATAAGTTTAGATCACTATTGGGAATGTTTGCTCATTGTCTCAGTTCTTCCTCCATAGTACATACCACTGGGAATTATGGCACATGTTTTACTGTGTGTTTTAGCTAAAGCACAACATTCATTACACCAGGCTTGCATTGTAAATGCACTAACGGTATCTTCTAAAATTATTAGATTTGAACAAATAATTTATCCCCATTTCAACTCTCAGAGCAATTTTACATAAGAAAGAAAAGGGAGATTTTTTTAAAAAAATTAAAATTCATGAGATTTTTGATATACATATATATATATATTTAAAAAAGAGCATCCCATTGGCAATCCAGGCTCAATTTTATGTGCCAAGAACATTTTGCAAAATTCATAAAATGGAAAAGCTAAAAGGACAAGCATTTTAAATCCTTCTTACATGACTACTTAGGGTGTTAGCTTTTTTAAAATGCCTCATCATGGGTGTATCATACGATGCTGCCCCATGGCCCCTCAAGTATCCTGTAATGTATTTCACCTACAAAGCATAGCAAGATAGCAAGATTAGAATAGCCAACCTCCAAGGACACAAAGCAAAGAGCTAAGACAGAAATGCAGGCATCATCCATTCCTTCTCTAGATGGAGATGTCTCATGGAAGCAGCATGATTTGGAAGCTCACCAACTGCTCTTGTTCAAAGTTTGATGGAGGACAAACAGGTTGATGTTAATTAGTAACAACACTAAAATATAAGGTACCAAATTATTGAAAATAAATCATTTATACAAGCAGTAAATCACAGTTTCAGCAGTGATTTGCAAAGTAGAAATATCCAAAGGTACTAAAAAATGAGTATAACTATGTAGGTTTCCAAGCAAATATGTCAGAAATCCCAAATGGGAAATGGCAATAAGACAAATGCATTAAAATATTTATTGCAAAAGAAAAAATGTGGAACTGATAGCAATATCTTTAAAATAGATGGCATATGAAATTTACTTAACAGAAAGTTGGGAGTGTAATAATTATCTCTGAATGGGGTATACCGTATGTTTATGGGTCATATAGTCACTGAGAACAGAAAATACAGTTGACAACAAACGAATATTAAAAGATGCAAATGGTTGAGGACATTGCCTGCAGAATAGGTTGGATGCCTTGGTTATTGTTTTGAAGGAGTTGCTTGAATTCTCGGTGAATTCAAACCTTTTCTAATATCTGAACCAGTGTTCCTCAAGCGTGTTGACTCTAACATGGTTGGACTTCAACTCCACAAATTCTTCAGCCAGCATGCTGGTTGAGGACTTGCGGGAGTTGAAGTCCAGACATCTTTAAATTGCCAAGGTTGAGAATCACTGATCTAAATAGTTTCCAATTTATCTTGCCTTATTTCTATCCAGTTTTTTCTCTCTTTCACTTCTTTTTTTCCCACCTATTGCTTCTCCCTCCTTCTATCTATCTCATTTTTTCTCCTTCTTTTTCATTATTTCTGCTAGTATGAGAAAGAAAAAGTATTTGTGTGTATCTGCCTATGTATGGCTGTATTTGTAAGCAATTCATTAATATATTCAAATGGAAAATCTATTTTATGTATAGGTATTTGCTGGCTATTCATTTTAATTAGGTAATATCCATTTCTTTTGATCTGGACTCTGCCTCTCTTAGATTATAGCTTCTAACAGGTGTGTAAATATACACACAAACATATATGTATGTATTTATGTGTGTGTATGTATTTGCATACACAAACATATTTGATAATAAGGAAATTTGCCATTACGCTTTATTTTTGTATATTTTTCCCATTTCTAGAAAGTTATCTCAAATTCAGGAATGTGGGATGACTGGTACTTTCTGGAACAACAGTCATATGAAAACCATAAATGAGAGCTTTCTAAAAGGCAATAATATTTTATCAATAAAAATAACTTCATAATTTCATATTTACTTCTACAGGATGTCCTTCTCTTCCAATTAGATTTATGAACAAATTTGAAGTTGGAAACCTATCCTTTGCTCAATGTTTTGTTTAAAAATGGACTGCAAATTTAAAGTTGGATGTCTTCCCAAAATGAATGCTGAACTAGCTTTACTCTTTACCATTAAGTAGATATTCATCTGAACAGGAACAATTCATTTTAAATCATTCACTTTAAAGATAAAATTATCACTGAGCTATTCAAGTCTTCTGAAACTAGAATCTAGATTTCTTCTGTATGTTCCATGTTACTCTTTGGAAGCCCAGACTAAGCCTAGGATTAATCAAAGATTAAGGGTGACCCGTGCATGCCCACAATGTCTACAATACCGAGCTAACCTTTTGATGAATGAAAAGCTGAGTTCACATGCTGTACACAGTGACAGGATTCTTTAGCCCACACAAAGCCCAGAATCAGCTCTACTGATTGTATTACTTTAGGTGTCAACATTACTTCCAAGAGAATGTGGGAAATTCTGTGCTCCTATTGTCATAAATTATTTGTTTTGATTGATCGTACCTGGCTGGTCAATTTGGACACTTCTTTGGCAAGTTCAATGTCTGGACGTCCAAGCATGGTGACTCCTACTCCAGCATCTTGTTTGGCTTTGTATTCAATCTAAAGTCAAGACAGACATTTGAAAAACTAATCAATGCTGCATTCATACATATCAAAACAAAAAGCAATTTTACTTATATGGATATCATACAAGCAACAAGTTACGAAGCGGCTGCATTGATTTGCACTCACATCGCTGACTAAATGGGAGACTTGTGTGGCCTTCATAATATCTGGTCGATCGGCCACAGTGGTATAATGGAGCTGTGATTTGGCATCTTTTTTATATTCGATCTACAGTAGGAGAAAAGAAGAGGGAGATAAATGATCAACACAACGTGTTTTTTTTAACTAGAAAAGACAACAGAAGGATGAAAATCAACTAATATTTTGCCAATTGGTTTGCTCTGGGCAGGATAAAATGACCATTTATATATGAATGCTTAGCAAAAGGAAGAATGGGGAAATGGAGAGGGGAAATGTGAATGTAGACATCATGCATATGTAATCATCATGCATATGGAGACCTTTACATCCAACCCAAATCAATAAGGATGGAGATTTTGTGAGGCATGATTACATCAGCTTTGTGGTTTTTTGTTTTTGTTTTTGTTCCAACAGCCATTTGCTTCTGCCAAAGGAAGAAGAGTGATGCTGTAGGACAAGTCATTGGGGAGAGGCAATTCTCGCTTCCATACACACACATCTCAGGAGACTTCACAATCGAAGCCCCTTTTCTTACATATGAAAACTATGCATTTGCTTTGGATGAGCACTTTGACTCTGCTCAGCACAACCTCCCAAAATATTTAGAAAGCAGAGCCAATAGTCCAATATTGGGAAATTCAGCTCTGGTTCTCTATGATGTAATGGCCAGTGTTTAGGAAGGCTTCTCAGATAGGATAAAGGCCAGAAGTATAACTAACTTTTGAAACATAAACTAGGCTTTTCATCTGCAGAATATATTTTATGCTTTAAAATGGAATTAAAAAAAAGAAACTCAAAGTAGATTGAAAGAAGGTGGTTTTTTTTCTTTACCTATATCCCGCTTGAAATACAGTATACCTAAAATTGTTAGGGCAGTGTATATTTTAAACGCCATGCCGTTCATGTCCAAATCTTTCTTTAAAATGTTAAAACACTTATTTTCAAAATAATTATATGGGGCATTATGCACTCTGGAATTAAACAAAGCTTTCCAGGAAGTGAGAAATCAAATTATCTCCAATAAAGGAGAATGTTTGGAGTTCAGAGTTGAAATGAAGTGTCCCTGATGGTCTCTGAACTTGGTTGTTTTCTTGTAGGTGTTTCATTACTCAAACTAGCACTGATGATGTTACCTAGTTTGAGTAATGAAATGTCTGCAGCAACAACAACCAAGCTCAGAGACCACCAGGGACACTTCATTTCAACTCTGAACTCCTTCTCCTTTATTGGAGACTGTTAGTCTCACACTCATTTATATATCCTGGTTAAATCATGATATCTTAATTCCAAATACTAGCAGTATACTGAAATGGTTTCCTGGTCTGAATACAACAACAGATCATATATCATTTGCTAAGGAAGAAAGTACAGAAATAACTTACAGTACTCTGTTTCTTTGCCACATCCATGGCGTGCTTCACATCAGGAGGTTCCACCATGATTGAATAATCTGACTTGCCTTTTTCTTTTTGAAATCTCTTTTTATAGTTTGTCTGTTTGGGATAGAAAGTTATACCTGTTATCCTCCACTGAAAATCTGTTGATGTTTAGAACAGGAAAGACAGATTAAAAACACTGCTATCTGGAAAAAGGGATGCGTGAGTGTGTGCTTGTAAGATAATAGGTTTTATCTCTTTAGTTCTACTGTAATTTTCCTTTATGTTCTCAAACTTTTGCATTGTTGATTGGATTCAAAGGGCAGCCATATTACTGCATTGACCGAAAATAATAAAGTCAATACCATCAATTATACATGCAACACCCTGTCTGTTCTTAATTCCTAGTCATACTGTGATTTGATTATCTTCTCACCCTCATGTCTATCTTCTTTCTCATTGTTCAAGGTACTTAAAATTATTTCATTGTGTTCATAATCAAGTTTGTAAATCATGGAAGTTCAAATGAGAGGAACACTTTCTAGATTTTTCAACAATTGCAAGTACACATCCCACAACATATTAAACCTTTGTAGATTCTGAATATCCGAACAGCTGAAAGGACAACAGAACTGATGATAAAGAATAACACTTCAAAAAACACTAAGTTATAGTTTAAAGGGGAGAAAATATAGCTTTACTCACAAACATAGCAAAGGTGAAAGACCATCTGCAATGTGAATAAAATGATGTAAAAGTAGCCTACCTCACTAACATTACTGGTGACTTTTTTAACACGAATAGTATCCAGCGTTTCTGGCAATTTTGTGAAAGAACCATGGGGGAGGTGTTTCTTCACATGCTCTTTGTATTTGTTCTGTTTTCAAAAGACAAGCAAAATATTTCAGAAATCACTTTAGGAAGAAGGTATTCTGGAGCCAGACAATTGCAAAATAAAAAATAAAATAAAAATTACCTCAGACACGAGAGAGCTAACCATCTTGGCAAGAAGGATCTGGGGAGTGTCTGGAACAGGATGGATGCTTCCTCGTTCCTTGTTGTGCTTCTCTTTATATTTTAACTGAGAAATTTAAAAAAAGGGAAACATGTTTTCAAGCAATAGTCATCAACAGGATTCCACAAATGAGACTGCCAACAGTGAGCATGTTGTTTTCTTCTCTTAGCTACTTAAAAAACCAGGATAGAGAAATCTTATATTGAAGCTTAGGCAACTATAAGATGTTTCTGAAGTCAAAATGTAACCTTGGAGATTCTTAACCTAATACATCTTAGGAGAAGGATGTGATGGGTAATTAATCTTACAAAACCTTTGTTTAAACATGATGAGGACTTTCATCTAGACCAGGGTTCCCCAAAGTGGTCATAATGACCTCCCAAGGATCGATAGAACTATTCAAAGTACAAATGACTGGGGGTCAAAAGGGGATCAACAAATGTCTGGAGGTCAACATGTGGTCAATAAAAATATTAAGTTCAATTGAGGTCAGCTAATCTTTTGGGGGCACTATAGAACTTACATCAGTCCTGAAGATAAGGTGGTCAGCAGTGAAACAGTATTAACTAGGATTAGCGGTCAGCCAAAGAGAGGACCTGAGCTGTCTCTATTATTATTATGGATGGGTAATCTACAGTTAGATTCATAGCCTAAGACTGGTAGAAACTTAATAATTCAGTTCCTAACCAAGGACCTAAGAATTATTAAAGTAGCATCAAGGAATATAGGCAGTCCCAAGCAGGATGGATTTTTGTAAAATTATGGTGTTCAGGTCTGATAAATTCAATATTTCTAGACATTGAGACAGTGACTTTTGCTGCAGTCACTGATCAAAGAGTCAATTGTTTCATCCTTTTCACTACAAAGATGACATTTATTATTGTTTGTTATATGTTGAATTTTCGCCTTCAGGCAAAGCTCGTTGGCAAAGCTTGTTCTTGAGCCATTAAAATAAAATCTTCAGTTTGTTTTTTTAATTGTCCTGATCTTACAAACTTCATGTGGAGTTTTTATCAGCATTTTCTTCTATATCCTTCAAGTATTGACCATGCATTGGCTTGCTTATCCAATTAACAAATCAATTTTCAATTCAGTCTTTATCTTTATTTTCAAGAGCTTTACTGGATTGACTTCTTTCAGCAAGGGTTCTTGGCTTTTCTTAATGTAGTTCATTCAGGCCTTGCTTTTCTTCTTTCTCAATTTGTTTCACTAATAGGAATCCTCTGCCCCCCTCAGTTCTTGGCAACTACAGTTTTTGGGAACAAAACTTGGTGCTTTGTCATTAATTTTTTTGTCTTCTGATCCAAGTTATCCATCTGGGTTCAGTCAACTATACCTGTTGCATATTTAATAACAAGGACTGGCTAGGTATTAATTGCTTTAATAACATTTCCACCACTTGGTTTTGATTTCAAAGTTTTTTGAACTAGTTTGATATTAATATTTGATATTATTATTTATAGTACTATTATTTATTTATTATATTTATATTAACTAAAGTAGCATTTATTAAATTATTTCTATACAATAAATATCTGGGGGTGTCAATGAGCAATCTAAAACTTCATGAAGGGATCAATTAATTGAAGAGTTGGGGACATCTGTCCTAGACTGAAGTTGGAAAGTTGACTGGCTTGCTCATTAGAGTTGAGCTCAATCTTGAGATTACTTGGAACTTACTAAGAATTTAGCACCACAATAATGGAGGGAAATGGGAAGTACAAATTAGAATTGGCTACCCAAACTAACACCAGCAATCCCCATAAATCATAGCAGATGCTTGCTTCCATTTTTATTGTTATTGGTAGACATGAACTTTTTGTACATGGTGCTTAAAACAATTTTTCTTCCAATTGGATTGGAATGTTAGATAAACCCTATTTACAAACCATAATTTGTAAATAATGCAAACAGATTTGATGACATTTATGTTTTGTTCTTGTTTAACAAGAATTGTCAAAAGTGATCAAAGTTTCCATACAAAAGGTTTTAAAATACTCACATCACTTGCCAAGATCGCATTCTGCAATGCCAACACTGTGTTTTTGTCATCTGTTACAGACAACTTGCATCCTTTGAGATATTCTCTGTCAAGCTTGTATTCATACTGCAAAGAAAGAAGGAACAATAGGAACAACAACAAAAATGAAAAAAAAGGTTTAGTTGTTCTAAATAGCAACAACCTGTCTTATTCCATCAGGGAAAAAAAGTAAATTTTCTTTCTCAGTTGCTTACATCACTCTGTTGCAAGGATGTCTTAGCAGCTTGGATAAAGTCAGGTCTGTCCATGGTCCAATGCCAGTGAGCTTTGGTGGCTTCATATTTCTTCTTGTAATCCAGCTATTTAATAAGAAATAAAAAAACATATAATAAAAGTGTTCTTTTTTAGAATTTTAAAAGGTTATTGTAGTTTGCTGAATAGTTAATCCATCAACCAATCAACAAATATGGGACAGATATAAACTCCATAGAAGAGTGATGTGTCTACATCATGGTGTAATTGGGCAAATCACCCATCTAGGTCTAAAAGTCATCCAATTTAGCATCATTTAGATTTATTGAACCATTTTTATGATGTTACAACATTGATGGAAAATACTCAGGAAGAGAAATACACAGCTTGTCCAGGCGATCAGTTCTATATTTGGGAGGACACAAAAGCTAGGTGCCAGGATTCTATTTGTTAAATGATAGTATCTTCATTCCCTACTCATATCTTCTGGGTTGCATAGGGTTTTCCAAGAATGATGGGCACTGGGGATCTATACTGACTCCCTTTCTCTGTGAAGCATTTTATTCAACAAGATGGTGTGCGAGCCCATCCTTGTACTTCTGAAAAAAGCATGAGATACACAAATACCTTCACTGGATTTTTATTAAAATATGACAAGTGGGTTCTTCAAGAGTTCAAAAGAGTGAGAATTGGAAACCCTGCTTTCCTAGTTTCCTTTGGAAGCCTTTGTCACCAAAATGACAACATTTAGATGGGAAGGAAGGAAGGAAGGAAGGAAGGAAGGAAGGAAGGAAGGAAGGAAGGAAGGAAGGAAGGAAGGAAGGAAGGAAGGAAGGAAGGAGAAACAAACTTACATTGCTGTTCACTTTGTAAGCCTGCTTAGCAGCTTTAATGTGAACTGAATCTGGTACCACATTGCAGTGAGCTTTATTCTGTTCATAGAGTTCTTTGTATTTCAGCTGTTGGGAAAGCATAAGATGAATATTTTAGCTATGTAAGGAAAAACAGAACCAAAGCCATCCCTTAAGCTTTATTCATATATTTATATAAGGCTGAATTGTGGGCAACTGTTTAAGAATGGCTGTGTATTTACAAAACATAACCTAAACCCAAAACATATTTCACCTGGAATTAAAAAAAACAACAACGTCCATTCCAGATAGTCATATTTGAGATAGTTTTCTTCAACCTAATAATAATAATAATAATAATAATAATAATAATAATAATAATAATAATGTTGGAAGGGACCTTGAAGGTCATCAAGTCCAACCCCCTTCTCAGGCAGGAAACCCTATACCATTTTGGACAAATGGCTGTCCAGTTTTTTCTTAAAAACTTCCAGTGTTGGAGCATTCACTGTTTCTGGAGGCAGGTTGTTCCACTGGTTAATTGTTCTAACTGTCAGGAAGTTTCTCCTTAGTTCTAGGTTGCTTCTCACTTTGGTTAGTTTCCATCCATTGCTTCTTGTCCTGCCTTCAGGTGCCTTGGAAAATAGCTTGACTCCCTCTTCTTTGTGGTAGCTCCTGAGATATTGGAACACTGCTATCATGTCCCCCCTCGTCCTTCTCTTCATTAAACTAGACATGCCCAATTCCAGCAACCGTTCCTTATATGTTTTAGCCTCCAGTCCCCTAATCATCATTGTTGGTCTTCTCTGTACTCTTTCTAGAGTCTCAACATCTTTTTTACATCGTGGTGACCAAAACGGGATGCAGTATTCCAAGTGTGGCCTTACCAAGGCATTGTAAAGTGGTATTAACACTTCACATAATCTTGATTCTATCCCTCTGTTTCATTGGAAGGATATAATTTTAAAAAATTACTTACTTCACTTATTCTGTCCATGACCTTCCGTACATGGAGAATCATGGGAGTATCATGAATGCTGGTATATCCCTTTGGTTTGGCTTTCTGGTATTCCAGTTTATAAAGAATCTAACATTAAAAAAATAAAGTTAGCACATGTAATCAGTATATATATATATATATATATATATATATATATATATATATATATAAAACACTTCCATTAGAAATTCACACCTAAAATGTCCAACCCCTCTTCATTCCCCAGTTATCTCCTATTGGATGTCATGACTGCCTTGGCAAATGCAACTATCCAATCCAGTCCAAGAAAAACAAGTAGCATGTCCACTACCCTCATGTAGACCTGTCTGAATAAGGCATGCAAATGTTGCGTCGACAGTCACAACAATATTAAAATTGACTTGTTTGATCTCCTATATTTGAACAATCAGTCCATGAAACAATCATCTGCATGCATGAAACATAGATAGGTCAAACAACAAAAACAAAAGCATGACATTTTAATTAGTTTTTGGCATCGGGTTTTGTATCATTCAGATGTGGGTCTGCTAGGAGTCAGTGAATATTGTACACTTGATGATAGAATTTAATATTTGGTGTGTTTGACAAGTGTGTTTGAGCTCAAATCCATTTAATTAGGAAGGTTAGTGATTAGTCACTATTTCTCAATCCGAGAAGTTTGTTATGGAAACAAAACTGAAGGGAAGCCAAGAACTCAAGAAACACTGAGCTTCTTGAAGACAGAATGAGCCTCATGACCCATATCTTCTCCAGAACACACCCAAAAGACCAGAAACCTCATCACTGATTTTATCTTTAAACTTATCATTGAATTTTCAGTCAGAGAGTCACTACTGATTTATTTCCTATCTCTCCCCCAAAACTTTTTTTTTTAAAAAAATTGATTAATACCACTTCTCTCAAGTCTCAGCACTTACATCACTGATTAGCTTGTTGACTTTGGTAGTCCTCAGATGTTCTGGAGTATCCACAACACTGGTAAATTTATCCTTCTGCTTTTCATACAGCCTTTTGTACTTGTACTGTTGAAAGAAAAACAAATAAGAATGATATGGAATGGCAGCAACAAAAACACGGCTAATACACCTTTTTAGAAGGGAGCTAGAATTAGCCTGCTCACTATCAACAGCTGCATAGAGGTCAACTGAAACTGTCTATGTGGGGAGCTAAGCCCACACAACGGAAATGTCAGTTAGGTGGCTTTTGGCTATGCTGATTTCAAAGGAAGCCAACGAGATGCAAAAAAAACCTGCACAGCACACATTCAAGCCACCTCTCAGCCATATAACTGTGGAGTGTCTACTGTGAGTCATCATCTCTAACCCTCCCACCACCTTGATATGGGAATGGATATGAGATAATCCCATATATCCTTCCTGGGACAGGATGTGAACATGATAAATAAAAGGAGTAAATTAGCAGGATTTCACCCAAGCAGAGGAAAACATTGGCTGTGCTTGAAACTGAAGGATCTCTTAAAATGAATAACCAGAGTAGGTAAGTAGCATCTTTTAGGATGTAAATAACAAATTTAAGAATTTGTTAAATATTGATTTATTCATTTTATAGTATTTACTTTGGGTTGTAATCCACACAGATTCTGGGCAGTACATAAGAGTATGAGTGAATTCAGGATCACTGAACCCATAAAAATTAGGGGTGGTTGGCATATTAAGTAAAAAAATACTAAATTAAATTTTTATTTTAAAACATCAGATTAATTGCAAATCCAAACAATACTCTGTAATTATAGCAGAAGGGAAAATACTGAGACTATTAATTGTACAGACATTTTAAAATATGTATATAAAATATATTACTTATTTGGACAGTAGACATAAATATTATTATAGATCTTTATAAATTATTTTATGCAGCTGAAAATCTTGGGGAATCTTCTATTTGGTTTTACATAGAATACCAGGACCTTAAAAGTGGTATAAAGACAAGAGAGAAAACATAACCATTTTTGTTTATGCATTATAATGAAAAACAACAACAACAAAGGCATGCACAAAGACATAAATAAAATCATGCACAAAGAATTGCACATATACAAAATAATGACAGCGTATACTAAAAGATTGCTAATGTATCACTGCCACAAATAAAGCATGTGTGTAGACAAGATTCAGGGAGACTGAATTTAATTCTGAGATTAGTTAACACTCCAAATCTAAAACTATTTGCATGTTTTAAAAAAACCTATTACTTTTAGGGCAAGTGAATAATATATTTTGGCATTATAATATCATAATATCACTTTTATTCAGAAGTAAGTCAATTTAGATTATCATAGCATAAACTAAATTTAGATAAGATAGAGATTCTGTTCACAAATATCAATGCTGCTTTACTTCCAAACATGATTTGTTTGTGAACTCAAGCTTTGGAGTTTAAATGTGAACCTTAATGTTAAATAGACTTAATGTTCAGGTAGCTACACATGATAGATTATGAGTGACTGCTATCTCACTTTAGAACTGAGCCTATGGAAAATTGAAGGAACTGAATTATGAAATCCTAAACAAGTTATTCCAGTTTGTACCTGTTTAGAGAATGAAGGTGATGTTTGTATTAGAACAGGTGAACAATGACTGTCAACTGCATGATGGAGAATCTATGTTGGCCAGATTTAACATTTAACAAAAACTGAGAAGGCTTTCCAAATAAAGAACAAAAATTTCTGAGACTAGTCTCTCCTGCAGAAGAACTACAATAAATATTGTAGATGGTACAATGCAGGTTGTCTTGATTAAGGTAAAAAGCAGGAAAACAAAAATAAACTGCATCTATTTGTATTTGCAAAGAATGAATGATCTAAAATAGCATATAATACAGCTAACTTGGGGAGGGGCTATGTTTGCTAGCCAGTTGTCCATCCTGATGATGGACATGGAAGAGAAGACTTTGAAAATATTGGATATTTCATCCTATTCATACCTGTATCTGCTGCAGATGGGTGCAGCTTTGACAAGTGTTCAGAAAGGAAGACACATAAGCAGTTTTCTTCCCTTAATTGTCTTGTTGGTTGTGAAGAATTTGCTCTAATACATAGCAAATAATGGCAACATTCAAAATCAATTCCATTCCTTTAATGAAGACTCTTTATGTTTATTGGACAAAGCTTCAATTAATTCACTACATTCTGTGGCGTGTGTTGAACAGAGGTTTAATGTCTACAAGGGGCTATCATATATGCAGATTTTTAATTACTTCCTTCAATTGTCACATCGACACTATCAAACCATTATAACTGCTGCTACTGCTATTACTGCTACCATTATTGTATCAACTACTACCACTACTACTATTACTACTACTACTATAAAACATTACCTGACTCCACTGATATGTGTTGTACAACGCTGTCAGCATATCTGGTTGCAGAATTTCATTACATTCATGTTGCAGGAACAACTTGGCATTAGACTTATACTTATTCTGTTCATGCAAACAGCAATGAAGCACAAAAAAGACTTGTGAAGACAACAAAAAGAGCTCTAGATCCCAGACAGTGAGATTTAGGCCTTTGGAATACTCTTGTATTCTCAAAAACCACACCAATGAAGGGCATTTGCTGTAGGCAGCAATATGAATAATGTCGTAACTGAATAACTGAACGCTGGGACATTATTTTGCTATCACCACACACAGCAATGCACTTTTAATAATAAGAACACAGGAATAACTCAGACCTATTTCTTTTTCAAATGCCAAATGAAATGTAGTAGAGAAATCATCATCATTCATTTGGGCATAGCTTTTGAGAACACAGAGTATGGACAGGATCACTCAAAAAGCTACTGAGCAATTTTGGGTGGCAGAGTACAGATAGTTTTTAGTACACGAAAGACATAACATTTTTAATATCCCAGATCAAATCTATTACATCACGGACGAGCGACACTTCAGACATGTAAAAATGGACATCCACAAATGACGCCAGCCACATTTTGGATGTCTTGACCAACTTGGCCAACCATACCTGACTGCTTAACTCTCCTCCCCATTTGGCCAGCAAGGTTTTAGGATCATCCACCACCAAGGAATACTTATCCTTCTTCTTCTCATACTCAGATTTGTATAATTTCTGCTCAAAGCAGCATCGGGAAGTAATAAATGGAGAGGCATAAAATTTAATAGCAAGGCATCAACTATTCAAAACTTTTTTAGTGACTCATTAAATCTATTCACCCATTCAGAAAATAGAGAAGATACTTATTCCCTTCCTTCCCAAAATTAGTTATGCATACATTTAAAACACAACAAAGTCTTATAAATTTAAACAGAACAGTCTTAAATTGCTCTACTTCAGAAAGCAGCCAGAATAAAGGCTTATTTCCAGGTCCAGTAAGAATAGGACGTCAGTGTTAAAGATACAGAATTAAAACTTCAGATTAGACAGCATGTCTTTTAACTCTTCAAGTTAATCAAAATTCTAAGTTCAGCTGCATTATGACTAATGCAATTAGCATATACATGGGTTTCAAAATATATAAATGCTTGTGATATAAATCCAAATTGGTAGTCTGGACTTAACCCATTAAGACACAATAGCAAAATATAGAACATATTCAAATAAGAGCAGAGTTTGACCTAGTACAGCACCAATTAATTTTGCTGCCCTGAATGATATTGTCTTGAAATATACTTAATTCACAGCTACAAATGTAGGAAAATTAACTTGATTTATCTATGAAGCAGAAGAAAATGTATATATTCAGCAGAAAGTAAAATTGCCCTAAAACATAAGATGTATCTCGGCGACTGGGAGAATACTCATTTTTTGTGTTAAACATGCATTATTATAGGAGTTTATAAAATCAATTTTTATTCCTCCTATATTTAATATTTTCCTGATTAATTCAAACATTGTTTTATATCAGACATGAGAACATTTAGTTTGTGGATGGATATCCCCACATTTTCAAAGCTGACTTCTTAAGGAGATCTTGCTACTTTTCCCAGATTTTTTAACCCTCTTCTTTCCTTCCACACATCCGATTCATTTTTAAGTAAATAAACTAGTTAGTTTTCTATGATTGTATTTACTTATACTTTTTTAAAATGCACAAAATAAATCTCAAGCTCTTTTCAAAGCAAATCTCGTATGTCCAGGATTTCTTTAAAGAAAATTCATAGTGAGTTTTTCACACACCTTTTTAACCCTACTTCTGCGTATATGATACCTGCAATTCCAAAGACATAATCAAGGAATCTTGAAGATATTATTCTCCTGAAGTTCTCTAGATACTGGCTTTATCTCTAAATGTTTTTTTAGAACTCTAATCCCTTTTACAAGATGGTTAGTCAGCTTCTGACCCAGCCAGATCTTGTAGGTGGTTCTTGCAGTACATACTTATCTATCCTAACTGGACCAAAAAAAAAAAATCACCATTTTGGAAATTCATTGTCCTTGCATACATTCTCCACTATCTCATTAGCCTTTATATCAGGAAAGTGCCTTTAAGAAGGCTTTGTGGTATCTTCCCTTTGTCCAGGCAACTAGCTGTTGGTATGGTTTGAGCATTGCTGCCAATCGGTGTATAAGAACGTGCATTCTGTGCTGCTAGATATTGGGAGCAAGATTTGAAATGAAGATACTTCCTTGTTTAGCTATCCTTTTCTGCAACTGCTTGAAGGATTGGTAAGCAAAATATATTAATTCTCTGGGCTTGTGTATTTCTATGACATGAAAGGCTAACTGGAGATTGGAATTTATTTGGGGCTATATTTAACCTTCTGAGAATTAGCAATAGCAGTACTGCTTAGACTTATATAATGCTTCATAGTGCTTTACAGCCCTCTCTAAGTGGTTTACAGAATCAGCATATTGCCCCCAAAAATCTGGGTCCTCATTTTACCCACCTCAGAAGATGGAAGGCTGAGTCAACCTTGATCCGGTCAGGATTAAACTGCTGGCAGTTGGCAGAGTTAGCCTGCAATGCTGCATTCTAACCACTGCACCACTATGGATCTTAGTTAACAGGAATTAGTTAATTCATTCAGTGGTTTTTAAAGTTTTTCAGCCAACTAATCTTCCCACATTTTTCCTGACCTAGTTAACCATGTTGAGAGTACAAAGCAATTTAATATGCAGGGGAGGCTTTAATGGAATTATTGTGGGCAATTCCTATATTACAAGAGTCTTTTAATCTACTTACCGCATCCATCAACCGAGTAGCATATTTAAAATGTCTGTTAATTGGAGAGTCAGCAACATACTTGAACTTGGATTTTGTCCTTTCAAATGTTTCCTTGTACTGATACTATTGAAAACAAATATACAGCAGTTATAAGGATATGATGAAAAGAATCAAAAGTCAGTATCCAATACTGATCAAATGTAAATGAGTGAAACACTGCAGATCTTTCACAATTACTAATAAAAGTAAGCCATCAGTAAACGATTCACTGAATGTTTCCAACCTGGGAGACCTGTTAGTCTGCTGCACCCAAAAACAGAACTGAGTGATATATTTTTATTTACTTATTTATCAGATTTACAGATTCCCTGATTCCACTCCAATTTGGGTGGCTTACAGAAATTTTATTTATTTTTATTAGATTGATATCCCATCCTTCCTCCAGGAATTCAAGGTGTTGTCTGCATTGTCTTTCCTCCAATTTTCTCCCGCCACAAAAATCTTGTGAGATAAGTTGCGCTGAGAGATTGTGTCTACCCCAAAGTAAGTCACCAACTGAGCCTCTATCATTGATGATGGATTTGAAAAGGGGTCTCCCAAAAGATCACTAAAATACAGATAGAATTTAAACCAGAACTGTTTTTGTTAGAATATTAGGAGCCAAGTATAAGAAGGAGACTGAGTATTTAATATTGCATATATTGACAGCAGTGAGAATAGTATTTGCCCAGTATTGGAAAAATGAAAATGTACCATCTGAAGAGGTTATAATTAAGAAAATTTTAGAATGTGCATAAATGGACAGATAACTTTAGAGATTAAAGAGAAAGAAGATTCAGTTTATTTTAAAACATGGGACAATTTTTATCAATGGCTAGCAAAAAGATAGCGAGAATTGAATGTGATACCATATTGTGAATATATATTAGTAAGATGATGGACATGTACTGGCTAACCGACATTGTTTACGATTGTTGTTTCTCATATTTACTATAGCTATTTACTATTATATTAATCGGTGTTATTGAATATATGTACCTGGACAATAGCCTGCTAAAGCTTGAGAATGTTTATGTCAATGGGGGGTAACCCCATTGTTCTTCCTATCCCTGCCCCAATCCCAACCCTGACCCCCATCCTCAATCTCAACTTCCACATTGATCCCATCCCTTCCCTAACCTTCTAAAACTCAATAAAATTTATTTTTTTTAAAAAAAAGTCATAGTCCAACAGTTCAGCTATTGTACTATGTAAAAAGCAACACATTTATTACAGGTAGTCTTTGACTTACAGCCATTCATCAAGCAGCCATTCAAAGTTACAATGGCACTGGAAAAAAAATGGCTTACAACCAGTCCTTGCATCTATGACCGTTGCAGCATTTCATGATCAAAACTTGGGTTCTTGGCAACCAGCATGTATTCACAACAGTTGCAGCATCCGAAGCTCATGTGAGAGCCATTTGCAGCTTTCCCAGCTGGTTTCAGACAAGCAAAGAAAATGGGGGAGGCTAGACTCACTTAACAGTCCCAGTGATTTATCTAACAATCATGGCAAAAACAACAACAAAAAAGTTGTAGAATCGGGTGCAAGTCATTTAACAACTGTCTTGCTTAGCAACAGAAATTCCGATCCCAATGAAGGTGTTGTAAATCAAGGATTACCTGCATGACATGAATCTGGATTTATTTATCCAGCTGATTCAATCACATGATCAGCAGAGCCTGAATATGACACCGTATTGTAGAAACTGGTAAAATTTTATGTTGCTAAAAAAAAAAATCTATTAGGCAAACGTATCAAAGGTCTTTCCCTTTGCGTATGAGGAATCCTCCCACTATAAACTAAATCAAATCTTCACAAAGAAACAACTTCTCACAATGTCTGAACAGGAACAAATAATACACGTACTGGACTATACAGAGCCTTATTCTTTTCGGCGAGGACAAGATCAGGAGTATCCCATGCATAGCAGCCAATGCCTTTGAGCCATGTTAAATCTTCCTTATATTTAACCTGCAAAAATAAGGTAGTAAGAGAAAATTTAACTACATGAAATATTGTCAGAAGTCACAAGAATTCACCATAAACCCTCAGTTTAACCAACCTGTCTTTGTTTAACACAGGGGTCCCCAATCTGTGGGCCATGGCCCACTACCAGGCCGTGGCCTATTGGCCACTGGGCCATATGAGTGGCTGGCCAGTGCACTCATGTGTGTGCACACATTCACCCCTTACTTGTGCTAGTGCTAGTGGTGCTGCTAGCATCACACGGGCGTTAGCATCTCAGCCAGTGTTGCATGGGTGCGTGCGGCCCCATTCACATGTGTGCATGAGTGCATAAGGGGACCTCCCCTTCCCTTTCTCTCTGGGCCACCAACTCAGAAAGGTTGGGGACCTCTAGTTTAACAGATTTCAGGTAGAAGAGGCATATTTTTCATTTGGCATAAGCTGAACCTATGCAGAAGTTCTCTTGGCAACTCTTTGAGCGAGAGCTGTAAACTTAAGATATCCTATGAAAAAAAGTCCTTGAACTGGAAGGCCCAGATATCTACATCCACTCTGAATCTGTTCTTCTCCATTCAATTCCACCTCTGATATTAACTATTAAAAATATTCCTTGTTTTTACCATGGAGCTTAGAAGTTTTGACAGATTTTAAATTCTGAAATCATAAACAAAGTGTAGTCAAAAGTCCACTGGTAACCCTATAAATGAGTTCACTTTGCAGGTGGTATTACGATTGCTAAGCTCTCCAACAGCAAAAATAGAAAATCATCCACTTTTGAATTGCATCATAAATTCACCATCCTAGATTTTCTCAAGCCTGTTGTTCTGTAAGGCTTATTTATGTGTGTGATGCAAGTGGTCAACGTAAATTAATACTCACAGTACTAATTGCATCGGTGACAGCACGATGGTGGTAGTGTTCTGGCAGGTCTGGGATAGATCTCCAAAATCCTAGTTCACTCATATACTTTTCTTTATATTTCACCTATAAAAAAAAAGAATTTGCAAACAATGAATAAACAATATTAAATTAACCCAAACACAAAATACACTATCAGAATTTAAATATGCTTTCTCACAAGAAAGCCCCACTAAATGCAATGGAACCTGCTCCCCTATAAATCGATTTCAAATTGCAACAGATTATTAGGAGAACATAATATTCATATAACTAAGCTGCCTTATGTAGGCAACCCAGACTAAGAAAAATATGCACTGAATGGAGGTGCCAGGATGTAGCACAAGCCACTTCTGCTGCTTGAAATTCCTTTCGGCCAACAAAACTGAACTAGAATTTGCGGGGAGGGGGGAGGACAAATAAAGCATTGTTAATAACAAATCCATGGCTCAATCAGACTGGGGAAGAGGTCTGCAATGCCATCCCAAAATTAAGATAAGAATACACAGTGCCAAGTAACTTCAAATGCAGTTGTTGTTATTCAGTCACTAAGTCATACCTGACTCTTCATGACCTCATGGACCATAGCATGCCAGGCTCCCATGTCCTCCCGTGTCTCCCAGTGTTTGCCCAAATTCACATTCATTGCATCTATGACACTATCTAACCATCTCATCCTCTGCCGTTGCTTTCCTCTTTGCCCTCAATCTTTCCCAACATCAGAGTCTTTTCCAAGGTGTCTCTTCTTCTCATTTGGTGGCCACAGTATTTGAGCTTCAGTTTCGGTACCTGTCCTTCCAAAGGACAGGCAGGGTTGTTTTCCTTTAGGATTGACTGATTTGATCTCATTGCAGACCCAAGGGACTCTCAAGAGCCTTCTCCGGCACCACAATTTGAAAGCATCAAATTCTTTGGTGCTCAGCCTTCCTTATGGGCCAACTCTCACAGCCATTCATTACTACTGGGAAAACTGTAGCTTTGACTGTATGGACCTTTGTTGGCAAGGTGATGTCTCCGCTTTTTAATATCCTGTCTAGGCTCCAATGCAGTATTCTAAATGTAATGGAAGCTCCCAAAACCCCAACTGGATGTAATGATCTCTAATGACAACTGAATTTGGCTGTGGCTGGGTGGCTGGGTAGATAGGATGAGGGACAGAGTTTAAAGACAAGGCCCTGTTAAATGGATATTTGGGGGTTAAATGGAGATTGAGAATGTTTTATAATCAGGCAGAAATTCATATTTAAGAAGCCATATACTTACTTTGCTAATATCATCAGTGACCTTGCGGTGATAAACAATATCTAAGGCATCCTTTACAGTGTGGTATTTACCCTTTGCTCGCTCAAATGTTTCTTTGTAGCGCAGCTGATTAAAAAAAACAAAAGACATATGTTTGAAATGTATTTCTATATCATTAATGAGATAGTGTTAGTCCTGAATTATGTCTGCTAATGTCGGACCAATCAGATATTATCTTCACTTGTTCAGTTTTTGCAAAGACAAAAATAGGCACAAATTCTAACCTGAACATATTATCCAATTATATTTTGACAGCTTAATTTTCCATATATTTAATGTAGTTTTCTCTGCAAATGCAAATGTTCTTTTCCTTCCAGTTTACACAATACTTTTGTTTACCTCATTCTTTTTTAAAAAAAATAATGAAGGGATGAAGAGAGAGATGAGAGAGATGTGAGAGAGTGAGAGTGAGAGTGAGAGAGTGAGAGTGAGAGAGAGATCCAATTATAAACCAAATGTACATTCTAAATAATGCTGGTTTCCTGCAAAATTTCACATTCATCTTTGTTCAGGTAACTATTACTTCATCTGCTGAATAATTTTTGTATTAATTTAATATTTCATTATAAGAGCCACGTAATAAGAATTCTGGTCATCTTGCAGCATTTCTGTAGAATATTGATTATCTCCAATTATCCTCTTATAAGATTATCTACAGTATTAGCTAAAAAATATCTTTTTTGTCATAAACTTACATCACTGGCATTCAGATAAGACTTCTTAGCTCTGATGAGAATTGGTGTATCCGGGACTGTTACGTATTTATCCTTTAGTTTATCGTAGAGTGCTCTGTATTTTTTCTAAAGAAACAGAAGGGAGGGGAGGAAAAGCATGAATAACAGTGAGACTTGTGCTCTATAGAGGCTATAGAGCAGTGATGGCGAACCTTTTAGAGACCGAGTGCCCAAACTGCAACCCAAAACCCACTTATGTATCGTTGGGTGCTGGGTGGGCGTGGCCCATTGAGTGGGCGTGGCCCATTGGGTGAGCGTG